TTCAATTCATCAAATTGAATTAAATTAAATTCTGAGATTCCCGCACTGCAGGGGGTTGGACTAGATGATCCTTGGGGTTGCTCGCAACTCTACAATTCTATTGTTCTATGAAATCAGTAAACCTATCCCCACCCCTGCCTGCAAAAAAAGGCAACTCACGAGTTCGTGTGAAATGCAACAGGCAAGGCATCAACCAAACCTCCCTAGATCTCTTAGTAAGCAAACGAGCAACATGCATGACAATTAATATTATCACTTTGTATGCAGAAAATGGCAAAGATGGATCTATTTTGAGTAAGACGGGGATGTTGAGCCGCAGAAGCCATTCCTGTAAGAGGCAGCAAGTTATAATTAAGACGCATTGGAATTTAGAGACTCAATTTTGCAGAGGCTTGAGAACGATTAATAAAAATACGGCCAGCATGAGGAATAAACATTGTCCGTCCTTTAATTAAAACATGATGATGATGAACTTGACAAGGCATCCTGACTGATAATTAAAGTTGTGCTGTGATATGGCCAGGAAAGGTGAAGGGTATAAAGACCCCAAACAGATTCTGGTCAGAATTATAGAATTGTAGAGTCGGAAGGGACCCCCAGGGGCCATCTAGCTCAACCCCCTAAAATGCAGGAATCTCAGCTCCAACATGCAAGTTCCGTGGGGAGGAATGGATGTTGCTTTGAAAGGTTATCACTGGAAGATAGAGGTTTCCCCGTTTAACCTGCCTGCCTGCAATTGAGCAAAAACCCCCACAAAGGCTGCATGACTCTTTTCTCGTGACCTGGGAAAAGCCTGACTCCCACCAGCCTGCAAATCCAGCTCCTTGGGGAAATGAATTTTGAGAAGTTATGTGCAGGCCTGGAGGAGGAGGAGATATAGAATCATAGAATTGTAGAGTCGGAAGGGACCCGAGGGTCATCTAGTCCAACCCCCTGCCATGCAGGTGTCTCAGTTAAAGCATCCCTGACCAGCGCTGTCTTTAGTAAATGCGCCGCCGGGGTGCAAAGATCCAGCCAGCGCCCCCCAAATTTAGTGTGGCCCCCAAATTAACCTTTATTACGCTTATGTCAGACACCACGCTGACGCCTTGTTTATGAAAGAAGAGAGGGAAAAGAAACAAATTTCTTTATTTGCTCATTTCTTTACAATACACTTGTACTTGAGTATGCAACACCACCACACTTAAACTTATGAGTATTGTTTAGGCACCTCCTTAGGAGAAACATCAGTCGTCTCAAAGGTGCCGCTGACTCACCCTGCTGCCGCATGGCAGCTCAATACAATACGTAACATAATATTTTGATGTAAGAGTTAATTTCGCATACATGGCGCCGTTGAGAATGACAAGTGCCGTTGCTGAGTCTGACAAGCACCGCCATCATGAATGACAAGCGCCGCCACTAGTGCAGTGCATCTTTGGTAAATGTCCTTTAGTGAAACGGGTGGCGCTGTGGGTTAAACCACAGAGCCTAGGACTTGCTGATCAGAAGGTCGGCGGTTCGAATCCCCGCGACGGGGTGAGCTCCCGTTTCTCAGTCCCTGCTCCTGCCCACCTAGCAGTTGAAAGCACGTCAAAGTGCAAGTAGATAAATAGGTACTTCTCCGGCGAGAAGGTAAACGGCATTTCTGTGCGCTGCTCTGGTTTGCCAGAAGCGGCTTAGTCCTGCTGGCCACATGACCCGAAAGCTGTACGCCGGCTCCCTCGGCCAGTAAAGCGAGATGAGCGGCGCAACCCCAGAGTCGGTCACGACTGGACCTCATGGTCACGGGTCCCTTTACCTTTACCTAGGTATACATTTCGGTATTACCTAGATATATATGTGTTTTGTTTTTTAGCTTAATCAAAATTATTTATTACTTCATAACAGGTAGATAGTTACAGTGGGGGGTTGAGTATTTGCTCCCTTGCTAAATTTGCCCGTTTGCCCTCTGACGAAGAAATGACCGGTCCATAATTTTAATGGTAGATTTATTGTAGCTGTCATAGGACTTAGAAAGGGTGGACAGCAATCCAGCCAAACGTTGGAAGATTCAGGGCCGATCAAAGAAAGGACGTTTTCCAGAGGGGACACTTATACGTGTTTGGCGGACCTGTGAAAAATTCAAAAGCTTCTGGAACATAGTATATGATGAGCTTAAAAAAATGTTTAAGTATCACTTTATGAAAAATACAGAAGCTTTTCTACTAGGGATAACGGACACAGGTATAGCAAGAGAAGATCAGAAGATATTCCTCTATGCCACAGGAGCGGGAAGGATCCTAACTGCTAAAAACTGGGGGGGGGGGGGGAACTGTGCCAACAAAAAAGGAATGGCAAGACAAACTGTTAGAGTATATTGAACTGGCTAGATTAACAGAGGCAATTAGAGCTCACACTAGACAAGAGTTTCAAAAAGCATGGGGGAAATGCAGAGAATACTTCACAAAACAGTGCCCTAAAATACGTACCTGGACTTGTTTCGATTAATGTCTGCAGGAGACTTTGTGGATATTTAAGTTATAATTAGAAAAATCTTAATAATTATTCATAAAGGAAGCAGCTTATAAGAAGTAAATAAGGAGGCCAGGTACAGGATAAAGGAAGTCTTTTATTTGGTTGTTTGTATTGTTGTATGTTATGCTTATTGTATGTTATGTTCATGTTTAATGAGGGTGGATTTCTGTTTGGAGGGTGGGGGGTTTATTTTATGTTATAAATAAAATTTCCAACAAAAAATAAAAAAGAAAGAAAAAGACAGAAAGGACATTTTCATAGAGCGCAGAGTTAAACTATGGAACTCCCTCCCACAAGGTGAAATGAAGGCCACCAACCAGGATGGCTTTAAAGGAGGAATAGACAAATTCAGGGAGGAGGAGGAGGAGACGGCTGTGAGTCAGCCTGGCTCATGAATCCCAGGCACTGGAAACTATGGGAGGGGAGAGTGGTCTTGTGTTCGAATCCTGCTTGCAGGATTTTTTGGGGGGCATCTGGTTGGCCCCTGTGAGAACAGGGTGCTGGACTAGGCAGGCCATGGGCCTGATCCGGCAGGCTCTTCTCATGTTCTTCGCTCCTCTCTTTTGCTGCTTCCTCCTCAGGGGCTGTTCCTCCGGGTTCTCCACCTGTGGGTCCCCAGATGTTGTTGGACTACAACTCCCATCATTCCTGAGCCCTGACCTTGCTAGCTAGGGGTGATGGGAGTTGTAGTCCAACAACATCTGGGGACCCACAGGTGGAGAAAGGCTGTGAGTCTGAGGGCTCCAGGACAGGCAGAAGGCGGCTTTTGGCAGGAAGGTGTCAGGCTGTGTGAAACAGCCTCGCATTTTTAGTTCCGTCGCAGCCCAGGGCTATTATAAGGCTAGCAAGTTGTGGCCAACGCAGGCCAGCGAACCTGCCATCCCAGCTCCTTAAGAGCAGCCCCAGAAGCCACAAAAATCCTCCTCCTGACATTTGGCAAACCACCTAATCATGCCCTTGGCTTGGCTTATTACGGGGTTACCAGGATGGCAGAGGCTGCGATGAAGAAGACTCCTGGGCGCAGGGAGATGAGCTCTGTTTCCCAATGCTCTCTTCACATACGGCTCCAAGTCTTTTCCCAAGTGGGATTTTGAAGTTGGGGGGGGGACACCTCTGGGAAGGAGGGCATTCCCACGACTGTGCAACTGCGGAACTCCCTGCCACAGGAGGCAGTGAGGAGCGCCAACTTGGAGGGCCTTAATTAAAATAAGACAATCAGTCAGAGGCAGCGATGCTTTTGAATCCCAGTTGCTGGAAATCACAGGACCCCTTCCCGCGTTCCTCTCTCTCTCTCTCTCTCTCTCTCTTTGATAAATTTATTTGCTCTTTCAAATTAAATTTTTACAATTGCATACTCAACATACATCATAAAAGCAAGATTCCAAAGAAGAATCTCCTGGACTTTCCTCCTTCACTTTCTGGGTCCTATTGTTAATCATTTTCTCCTGCATCTTTTATAAAAATCTTTTACATTTCCATTATGTCCAAAATTCACCATTAAACTCCCAAGTGTTATTCCAATCCCACTAATGATTTTACCTGTTTACAATGATTTTAAAAATAAAATACATTTTGGTCACACACACACCCTGACCCTGCAGTGGGGGGGGGGGGCTGAGCCCCCACAATAAAAATTTTATGGGTGCTCAGGCACCCAGAGCCCCCTATATTTGGCGCCCCTGCCACTGGGGCATCTAGTTGGCCATTGTGGGAACAGGAAGCTGGACATGGGCATAATGTTGGGAGGGGGGGCAGAACCTCAGTTAGTTATTTTTAATGATTTATTGGATAGCAAACCCCCCCATAAAAGGATCTCAGGTGATTATTGTGAAACAGGTGGGCCCCTTTTGATTGGAGATGCAAGGAAAAGTCCCTCGTCCAGGGATCAGCTTGCAAATCTTGCGGCGCGCACTGGAGCGGCTGAGAAAGCGCACCGGCGGCTTTTGCGCCAAAAAAACCCACAATAATGGCAGCCCTCGAAACTACACTTCCCAGCATTCCGCGGGGGAGGGCTGAGCAGGAGGAGGCGGAGAAAGGGAAAGTGGCGCTGCCCACTTTCGGGTTCAAGCGCTGCTATTTTCTTTCTTTTTTGCAAGCTTTGCCGCGGAGCCGAGGAGACCCAAAGGCCCGCGGAGGTTGCGCTTTTGCGCTTTTACGCGCGGGCGCACGGGCTGCTCGTTCCCTCCGAAGCTCTTGGGTGGAGAGAGGAGGAGGAGGAGGAGGCCACGATCCCCGCCGCCGGGCTTCCCCCGGGCTTGCTCGGGAGTAAGCCGCCCCTTCCCGAGGGCGGGCAGGGCGCGAGCGGGGGCGCGCAGGACACCTCCCCACCCCAGGGAAGGAAAAAAAGGCTCCGGCGTCTTGCAGCCGGGGGATCGGGCCCTCCGGCTTGCGCAGCGAGGCGGCGGCGGGGGGCTCGGCCCCTTCCCCGGCGGGGGCGGCGGCCAGAGCAGCTGGAGGGGGGGGGGCGCCGGGAAAAGGATCCGCCGGCGCCGCCCGAAGCCAACATGGCTGAGATCAGCATCGACCAGTCCAAGCTGCCGGGAGTCAAGGAAGGTAGGCGGGGAAGAAGGGGCGGGGGGGTCGTGGGGGGGGAGGGAGACCCTTTTGCGAGACTGGGGCGGGGGGGGAGAGGAAGAGGAGAGCCCTTTGCCAGACACCGGGAAGTGGGGGGGGGGGATCCGACGAAAGGAAGGAGACACCCTTGGAAGACTTGGGGAGGGGTCGGTGGGGGGGAAGGGAGACCCCTTGGCAAGACTGGGGGGGGACTTTTTGCAAGACTGGGGGGCGGCGTTGGGGAGAAAGGAGACCCTTTTGCGAGACACCGGGAATGGGGGGGGGGGCGTCCGAGGGAAGGAAGAAGACCCCCTTACAAGACTTGGGGAGGGGGCGGTGGGGGGGAAGGGAGACCCTTTTGCAAGAGACCGGGGGGGGGGTCGAAGGAAGCAAGGAGACACCCTTGGAAGACTTGGGGAGGGGGCGGTGGGGGGGAGACCACTTTGCAAGACTGAGGGGGGGCGGCGTTGGGGAGAAAGGAGTCCCTTTTGCGAGACACCGGGAATGGGGGGGGGGGGTCAGGACAAGGAAGGAGACCCCCTTGCAAGACTTGGGAAGGGGCGGTGGGGAGAAAGGAGACCCTTTTGCGACCCTCGAAGATGGGGAGGGAGGGAGACCCCTTTGCCAGACACCGAGAATGGGGGGCGGGGTTTCGAGGGAAGGAAGGAGTCCCCCTTGGAAGACTGGGGGGGGGGGGTCGTAGGGGAGAAGGGAGACCCTTTTGCGATATGGGGGGGCGTGAGAGGGAGACTTTTGCAAGACACGGGGGGGGGCTCGAGGGATGGAAGGAGACCCCTTTGGAAGACTGGGGGAGGGGGCAGGGTTGGGGAGAAGGGAGACCCTTTTGCGACCTTCGAAGATGGGGGGGGAGGAAGGGAGACCCCTTGGCAAGACTCTGTGGGGTGGGGGCGATGGGGAGGGAGACCCCTTTTCGAGACTGGGGCGGGGGAAGGGAGACCCCTTTGCAAACCTCTGGTGGGGGGGAGAGAGGGAGACCCCCTTGCAAGACCCTGGGCGGGGCGGGAGGGAGGAGACCCCTTTGCGAGACTCTTGGGGGGCCGTTTCCTTTTGTGGGGGGGGCGTCCGGGAATACCTCCCCCCCGCGGTCCCCTGTGTCGCGAAGGTGCCTGTGGGTGGTGTCCGCTGCGCCCCCTTTTCGGAGTCTGGGGGGGGGAATCTAATCCTTTCTCCCTTCTGCGGAGGAGGGGCTGGGGGGGTTTCTACCGCCGGTGGGTCTCTATGCCGGATGCCCCCCCCCCCTGGACTCGTTGAGCAGAAGGCTTGGAGGGCCGGATCCGGGTCTGCCTGGCACCGCGCCCCCTTGCGATGGGGAACACGGGGAGCCCCTTCAGACGTGCCACGGATCTCCCGGGCAGTTGGAGACCCGGGAAGCTGTCACCGATTCGGACCTCTCTAGTCCTGCTCTGGCCGGCAGCAGCTGCTCTCTCCGGAGCTTCCCCCACCCCAGCCCTGGTCCCCCAAATAAAACCAGATTCTAGTCCTCATGAATCTGGGCAAAGGGTTGATCTATGGAGGAAGCTGTTTTCCCCTGGCTGTCTTGGCTGCCCTTGGGGCATTGAACCCGGCACCTCCTTCTGCATGCCAAGCAGCTGCTGTAACCGCTGAGCTGCAGTCCAGGGTGTGTCTGGGGCAAAGGGCAGAAGGCCCCGCTGACCCCCTGACCCCCCAAGCTGCTACCTTTCTTGGTGCAGGGATTTTTCTGCGTTCGTTTCTGCCCATGAGGTCCACTTCCTTTGTGCATCAGGGCAGGAGGGAAGAGACCCCTCCATTCCAGACAAAAAGGGGCGGGGGACAAAAGAATTGTAAAATTAGAAGGGATCTAAAAGGTCCTCCAGTCCACCCCCCTGCAGAGGATGCGTCTTTTAAAACTGGGCTTGGCCTCAGACTCTCTCCCCCCCCATTGTTTATTGCATTTATATCCCAATCTCTTTCCTCCAAGGAGTTCAGGCTGACATCATCATCATCATCATAATTCTCTCCTTCCTCATTTAATTGCTCCACAACAACCCTGTGAGGTAGGTCAGGCTGAGAGATGGGGACTGGCCTGAGCTTCATGGCCAAGTGGGGATTTGAACCCTGGTCCTGATCCAACACTCTAACCACTACACCACACCACACTCTGGCTTTTTAAGTACTTGAATTTTTAAAAAAATAAATTTGTGGGAGGGGTGGATCGCCCAAATTAATTGTAGCACATTTTAATTGATAAAAACATAGCTGCCTTGCAGACCTTGCAGCTCTGCTTTTAGCTCCTTTTTGCCTTTTATATTTTATCATTTTATTCTCTTACCCTCTTTTTATTGCGAGCTGCCTCTTCGCTTTGGGTTGGGGAAATAGGGTTTAAATGCAGGGTGTGTGTGTGTGTGTTGTTGTTTTTTTAAGGTGTGTGGCTTTTTTCTATCACGGAATCATAAAATAGTAGAGCTGGCAGGGATCCCCAGGGGACATCCATCCCACCCCCTGCAAAACAGGAAATGTTGGAGCCTATCTCCTGGCCCAGTCCTACTTCCAGCATGGGAGCAAAGAAAGGCTTTTCTACTCTTCCAAATACTCTGGGATGGGATGTGTGTTATTCTTTATTTTTATCGTTTATTGAATTCATATACCGCCCTGTACCTGGAGGCAGGGGTCGCTAATACGGTGCTCGTGGGCGCAGTGCCTCGGCCCAGTAGACCCGAAGGAGCGTCTCCACCCCCATCGTTCAGCCTGGACACTGAGGTCCAGCTCCGAGGGCCTTCTGGCAGTTCCCTCACTGGATCTTAAACAAGGGAGGAAGACCTTTCATCGCCTACAGACGATGTTTGGACTCGCAGCTGTCCATGGAGGCGCAGGTCAATTCTGCGTCCAGGGCAGCTGTTTACCAGCTCCATCTGGTATGCAGGATGAGACCCTACCTGCCCACGGACTGTCTCGACAGAGTGGTGCATGCTCTAGTTATCTCCTGCTTGGACTACTGCAATGCCTCTACGTGGGGCTCCCTTTGAAGGTGACCCAGAAACTACAACTAATCCAGAATGCGGCAGCTAGACTGGTGACTGGGAGCAGCCGCCGAGACCACATAACACTGGTCCTGAAAGACCTGCATTGGCTCCCAGTACGTTTCCGAGCACAATTCCAAGTGTTGGTGCTGACCATTAAAGCCCTAAACAGCCTCAGTCCAGTAGACCTGAAGGAGCGTCTCCACCCCATCATTCTGCCCGGACACTGAGATCCAGCGCCAAGGGCCTTCTGGCAGTTCCCTCATTGCGAGAAGCAAAGCTACAGGGAACCAGGCAGAGGGCCTTCTCGGTGGTGGCACCCGCCCTGTGAAACACCCTCCCATCAAATGTCAAGGAAAATAAACAACTAGCTGTCATTTAGAAGACATCTGAAGGCAGCCCTGTTCAGGGAAGCTTTTAATGTGTGACATTTTAATGTATTTTTAATCTTTGTTGGAAGCCGCCCAGAGTGGCTGGGAAACCCAGCCAGATGGGTGGGGTACAAATGATAAATTATTATTATGCCCCTCCAGTGCCCACAGATCCTTTGACCCACAACCCCCTTTTATACCCTGCTTGGTCAAGAAATAAGGGTCGTTATTTTTTCTCCCTTGAACAGGAACATAGGACTAAAGGAGGAAGCTGGAAAAACGGCCCCCTTTTCAGGTCCATGTTCTTTCCAAGGCACAGGTTCTGCCTGGATCTCTTGGGAAAGCGAAGCGTTTGTGTTCTCTCTGCGCCTCTTTCTCTGGGTGGGGGAGCTGATCCCGTGAAGGAATTGGGGAAGGATCCAGGGGGGTGGCGCCCGCAGCTGGTGCTCCAAAACCCAGAGGTGCCCACAGCCCACCAAAGTTGGCCGTTCCTGTTGCAAGGAGGCATATACCCAGGACCCCGTGATGTAAGTTGGCCGCTCTGCTGGGCCGGAGCTTAGTATTAGAAATTAGCCTGGCACCAGGTTGGCGACCACAGTTTAAAAAACCTCTGCCTTCGATCATAGTTAATACCATTTCCATTTCCACTGTGTGTGTCTCCTCCTTGCACGCTGGGACAAGTGAATCGTTGCAAGAGCAAGCTGCAGTTAGGCAATGAGATAGTAGGATCCTGGAATCGCAGAATTTTAGCGTTGGAAAAAGGGTCCCCCCAGGGTCATCTAGTTCAACCCCCTAGTGAACAGATGTTCCGTTGTGGTGACTGTGACTTAGATTTAAGGCTCCATTTGGTACCTAGCTTATATATCTTGAGTTTCTAACATGGCTCAGAAATGAGCTCTGCTGAGTTGCCTTGGCTTTACTCCCAGGTAAATGTGGGAAGGATTGCAGCCTTTACCAAATCAGGCTCAAATCATGATCCGAGAGGTACATTTTCTCTCGCTCTTGCACGTGGCACTATTATTTCAGTTTGTGCGAATCGGTGAAATCAACTGCTTTCTTGGTGATCGCTATAGAAATGAATGTGCATTGATGAGTTCCGGTTAATTGCTTTGGAGTTCAATGCTGGGGCAGAGTGTCTGGCATAAATCATGTTGGGACAGGGCAAATGGACTCGACCCTTTTGTGGGTGACGAGGGCCGAATTTGTGGCGGACGTTGCGGAGAGTTTTCAAATGTGAAATGTTCGTTTCCTGCCACACAAAGGGGTAGGTCTGAGTTTTCCGTCCGGCAGACACTGCTGTGGCTCAATCCTTGATGCGACTCACTGTCGCGTGGCGCTTTTTCAATTGAGAACATTGCAGGTCCCTGCCGGATCGGGCCAGCGGCCCAAACATCTGGTCCAGCTCTTGCAGTGGCTGACCAGATGCCCCTAAGGGAAATCCGCAAGCAGGATTCGAACACAGCTCTCCAGCACCTGGCATTCAGAAACATAGCTGCCTGCAACCCTGGAGGCAGAGCAGTCCTCTTTTGAAGCCTCCCAAGTTAGTGGCTATCACTACCTCCTGTGGGAGGGAGTTCCACAGATCAACAAAATTTGCCAGGTGCATTTTGCACTTGCCTATGGGCCACTTGCGACCAAGTGAAGATGCCCACCTGTCTGGGTGGATGCACCTGATGTTTCCATGGATCTGGACTCTTTGCACACACTAACAACACATCCTACTTTTGAGTGGCAATTTGAAGGATGGAAGTTGGTGGGGATGGGAAGTTAAATTCCTCAGGGGAGCTCATTTTCAGTTAACAACATGCCTAGTTTTAATAATAATAATAATAATAATAATTGGCCTCGCAATGTGTTTTGCTTTCATGCACCTTCCTTTGTAACGGCTTCGGCCAAATAAATAAAAATAATGGCGTTCATAGAATTGTAATGTTACTTGGAAGGGACCCCCAGAGTCATCTAGTCCAACCCGCTGCAATGCAGGAATCTCAGCCCAAGCAGCCATGACAGGGGGCCACCCAAAGCCTCCAAGGAGGGAGAATTCACAGCCTCCAGAGGGAGACCGTTGGCTAGGTTCCAATGCAGCTGGTGTCACCCCGGAGCAGGGTCTAAAACAGTGAGCAGCGACTTAAGACGTTCCTGGTTGAAATACCACGTCCCCCTGAGCACATCTGGTGGCTGTAAAGGCAAGTCAGTCTCAGGTCTCCACCCCTCCCGCCACGGCCACAATATGGCGACAGCCCTGCTGGCCTGCATTGCAGGGTTGTTGTGGAGGAATGGGGAGGTGGCCTTTAAATGCTTTGAGCCCTCTGCAGGTTTCCGTACAGTGGTACCTCCGTTCCGGAGCCCCGTTCGCATTCTGAATAGAATGTAAGACGCGTCTGCGTGGGTCACCGCTTTCGCGCACGCGCGTGATGTCATTTTGACCATCTGCGCATGCGCGAGAGGCGAAACCTGGAAGTAACACGCTCCGTTACTTCCGGGTCGCTGCGGAGCGCAACCCGAAAATACTTATCCTGAGACATATTTATCCCGAGGTATGACTGTACTGTTATGTTCACCTGTTTGTAATACAGTGGACACTCGGGTTGTGAACGTGATCCGTGTGGGATGCACGTTCACAACCCGCAGTGGTGCGGGTTGCGATTCAGCGCTTCTGCGCATGCGCAAAGTGCGATTTAGCCCGTTCTTTGGTGACTGGGAGTGGCCGCCAAGACCACATAACACCGGTCTTGAAAGACCTACATTGGCTCCCAGGACGTTTCCGAGCACAATTCAAAGTGTTGCTGCTGACCTTTAAAGCCCTAAATGGCCTCAGCCCAGTAGACCTGAAGGAGTGTCATTTTGCTTGCGGACCAAGAGAGGATTAGGCCTTTTGTTTGCCAGTTTCCTTTCCCCAGCCAGCCTTGAAGCCTCCGGATTTTCTTTTCAGGAGGGGAGGGTCCTTCCCTATTATCCTCCGGGGCTTCTCTTTCAAAGCCCTGCTGTTGTCTGCCCTGAAAGCGGGGAGGGGGCTTGCGCAGAGGGACCCCTGGGACTCCCACAGAGAGCACACAGAGCTCAGGCTGCTCCTTGATCTTAACCTCCTGCGCATCGCAAGCCTGCCTTGCTACAAAGAACCGCGCACTCCCTTTCATGCTGCAAGAGAGATGTCTTCTCCCTGTTTCTGAGCTGTGGGAAAAGCGCCAAGGGGTGGGGTCAGGGTCGGGTTGCTTTTGAAAGTGGGGAGGGGGGAGACGGAGGCAGGCTAGATTTCCCCACTGCTGGGGGGGGGGGCTTGGATTTTCACCTGCATAGAAATGGCATTTGAGGTGCCCATATGTGAAAGCCGATGTGTGTAAAGGAAAGCATCTTAGCGGAGATCTAAACAGGAGAAGGGATAGGGTTAGGCACGCTTGGGAATACAGTCATACCTCGGGTTACAGCCGCTTCAGGTTGCGTTTCTTTCGGGTTGCAGAAGTACCGGAATGGGTTACTTCTAGGTTTCGGCGGTCGCACATGTGCAGAAGTGCTATATCACGCTTTGTGCATGCGCAGAAGCACTGAATCGCAACCCGCACGTGAGCAAACGCTGGTTGCGAACACTGTGGGTTGCGAATGTGCATCCTGCACGGATCATGTTCGCAACCCGAGTGTCCACTGTATCTGTGTGCAAATTGTAGGTTGGCATTCGATGGTCGCGCCCATTGTGCAGGGAGAAAACTTTTTGGTGGGTTTGGAGAAAAGGGCAAGCGAGAGGCAACATGTGATAGAAGCTTATAAAACATGGGTAGGCAACCTAAGGCCCGGGGGCCGGATTCGGCCCAGTTGCCTTCTCAATCCGGCCCGCGAACAGTCCAGGAACCAGTGTTTTTTTACATGAGTAGAATGTGTGCTTTGATTTAAAATGCACCTCTGGGTTATTTGTGGGGCATAGCAATTCGTTCATTATTTTTCCAAAATATAGTCTAGCCCCCCACAAGGAGGGACAGTGGACCGGCCCCCTGCTGAAAAAGTTTGCTGACCCCCATAACGTGTGGCATGCAATAAGTGGACAGACAGAGAAAAGTTTTTCCTCCCTCTGACCTGACGCTAGCACTTGTGGACATTCAATTGACGCTGAATATTGGCATATTCAGGACAAGCCAAAGAAAGCCCTTCTTTACGCGGCACATCGTTAAACTGTGGAACTCCCTGCTGCAGGAGCCAGCCATGGGCGCCAAGCTAGAGGGTTTTTGAAGGAGGCTTAGACAGATCCACAGAGCAGGGGGCTTTCGATGGCTACTGTGGCTCTTGCTCTGGCTCCACAGTCAAGAGGCTGCAATGCTTCTGAAGTCCTGCTGCTGGAAACTAAGGGGTCTTGTGTTCGAATCCTGCTTGCAGTTTTGCCCCAGGCATCTGCTTGATTGCTGCAAGAACAGGATGCTGGACCAGAGAGGCCATTGGCCTGATCCAGCAGAAGCTCTTTTTTATAATAATTCTTACTGCATTTTCAGTTTTATCATAATCACAATTTCCATACATAAATCAATAAACTCAAACCGCTCTATCCGAGCGTCGACCTCCTCCCGCCCCTCTTTCTGACTTCCATACGTATTTTCTTTATTCTTCGCATTTCTGTAACCACTTTTTTACCTTCTCTCTTATTTTTATATTTCCCCTTAATAAATGTAAATCAGTTCCTTCTATTCTCATTACAAAACATTTCAACTCAAAGCTGCAAACTTTTCAGATGTTTACAATGTTCTTTCATATATAATGTGAATTTGCTCCAGTTCTTTTGAAACGCTGATTCCGGATCTTACCCGTCAGCTTTGCAAACTCTACGTATTCCAGATCCAGAGGGCTCTTAATATGTTCTTATTTTAAGGTTGAATGTCTCCAATGGGGGGAAATGCAAGAGCAATTCCAAATTCCCTGTATTTGAGCATTCAGCTCAGAAAGAGAGTAGATCTCTCTCTCTCTCTCTCTCTCTCTCTCTCTCTCTCTCTCATACACACACACACACACACAGTGTAGCTCTAGAAACTCCCTTTCTCCTCCCGCCAGAACACCTTCCCAGATCTCCCTTAGTTATTTACCCAGCCACTCCCAGCAGCAGATGTGCCGTATTGGCGAAACTGCCTTTGCAACTGCGAGAGGAAGAAAGAGCAAACCGGGAAAGGACACTTTCCCTAGACGGAGGTTTGCATGCAGGTGGTGCTTCTGCAATTTTCAGCAGCTGTGCGAATGGGTGCATGGGCTGCCTGGCCAGCTGGCCTGCCGCTGACTCCCTTCTTTGCTTCCTCTCGAACCCGCTTCCTGCTCAAAAACACCTGCGGTAAAACTCTGCCAGGCCAACAGCTCACCAAGTGCCCAGAAGCTGGCTAGGGCTGCTTTGAAAAGTGGTGGTTCTGGGGGAGGCTCCCACAAAGCCGCTGCTTTTTGCAATTTAGTGATGGTCAGCCGACTCAGGATCAACATGGTGCCCTCCAGGGGCTTCCCATTCGGCGCTGATGGGAATTGTAGTCTGAAGTATCTATAGGGCACCAGCTTGACAGCGTCTGCCCTTGCATTTTGCAGCTTGGGCAAAGGAGGAGGGCAGGTGAACTTCAGCTGGAATTGTGACCAAAGTTTTGCCTCAATTGAAGCAAGTTTGGGGGTTCTCTGCAGCGAGGTGGCGCTCAAAGTTTTGCTCCTTTCTGAATTCTTGGCCCTGGTTCAAGCCGGGTTCTTTGCATTTCTAATGGTCCAGCCTCGCTTTAACCAGTGGTTCCCAGAGTGGGTGGTACCACCCCCCTGGGGAGGGCAGTGGGGTTACCAGGGAGGGTGATAAGAGGCAGGGGGGCAGCAAGGGGCCGCTGGAGGCGCAAATGGCTTAGCAGACCTAGAAAAACCGTTACCGCTGGATCAAGTTTGTCGGTTTTGTTGAATTAAACTAAATAGCTTGAATTGGACTTTGAGTAAATGTGCCATGAATTGTTACTGTTCTGATTTATATTGCGTTATTACTTTCCTTAGGGACACAGGTGGCACTGTGGATTAAACCACAGCCTCTTGGACTTGCCAATCAGAAGGTTGACAGTTCGAATCCCCATGACGGGGTGAGCTCCCGTTGCTCGGTCCCAGCTCCTGCCCACCTAGCAGTTCGAAAGCACGTCAAAGTGCAAGTAGATAAATAGGTACCACTCTGGCGGGAAGGTAAACGGCGTTTCCGTGCCCTGCTCTGGTTCGCCAGAAGCGGCTTAGTTCTGCTGGCCACATGACCCGGAAGCCGTACGCCGGCTCCCTCGGCCAGTAAAGCAAGATGAGTGCCGCAACCCCAGAGTCGGCCATGACTGGACCCAATGGTCAGGGGTCCCTTTACCTTTTATTACTTTCCTAAGTGGGTTGTGCAAACCGCTATTTTGAATTGTGCTTTTTATAGGATCAAGGGGGCTGATTTTTTGAACTTACGGAAAACTTTTTTCCAGATTAACAACTGCCTTGCGCCATTTTTATGGGGCTGGGGGGAAGTGACTGGCTCAGGTGTTTTCATGGATCGAAATTATGTATTTCGCAAAATTTATGCACTACTGTAGTTGATTGTGGGGGGGGAAAGCAGTTTACAGAAAGATAAAAGGAAGAGATTTTCAGCAGCGGTTTGAAACATAAATGCTAAATCCACACCAACTTTCTAAGCACCTGGTTTTTAGCAGGCGCCAAGAGAGTACCGTGAATGTAGGTATCAAGGGGCAGGGAGTTCCAAAGTGCACAAAAAAACAGCCGAGTTCCTACAAGCTGAGACAGTGCATGAAAGCTCTGCAAATCTGCAAGGGTAAAAGGCAGCGTAACCTGGGCTGTGGGTCTGGCCTTCTTGGGAACGGAGGGGGCCGCATCTGTTGACACGCCAAGAGCCATTGAATCGGAGCGTGGAGAGCGGGGCACCGTCGCCAGGGCAACCTCCACGCGCCAGCCACAGCCAATCCTGGCCAATTCTCCGTGGCGCGGCGCCAGCCCTCCTTCCCTGCCTTTGGGTAAAGGTCACTTGAGTCATTCCTAATGGGGCTGCTTTTGCCTTTGGTTGGGTTATTGTTGTGTTTGCTTGTTCTTCTTTGCCGTCCTTTGGCTGTGAGGTCCGTGACGTGTGCCAGGAGACGAAGACCTCCTTTGTCCAGGCTCTGGAAGATGGCATGGGGTGGGGGTGGGATCACCGAGGAGGGGTGGCAGGGAAAGCCAGTGGCCCACCCCCCAACCGTTTGCAAGCTTGCATTCCCGTTCCCTCTTTGCTTCGCGCTTCCCCACCCGCAAAGGATTGCAAAACCTTGGAAGACCTTTAATCTCCATTATCTGGACGGCTGGTATTTGAGGCTTTGGCAAACCGCCCTTCTTGGAAAGGGATCTATACAGGGCTGGATTGAGGTTTGATGAGGCCCTAAGCTCCTGATGGTAATGGGGCCCTTTCTATGTCCAGCTGTCCTTTGTCAACAACAAATTGTCCCCGTTTTTTGTGTTGCATATACAGTGGTACCTCGGGTTAAGTACTTAATTCGTTCCGGAGGTCCGTTCTTAACCTGAAACTGTTCTTAACCTGAAGCACCACTTTACCTAATGGGGCCTCCTGCTGCCGCCGTGCCGCTGGAGCACAATTTCTGTTCTTATCCTGAAGCAAAGTTCTTATCCTGAAGTGCTATTTCTGGGTTAGCAGAGTCTGTAATCTGAAGGGTATGTAACCTGAAGAGTATGTAACCCGAGGTACCACTGTATGCTATATATATGTAGGGGCGCGGGTGGCGCTGTGGGTTAAACCACAGAGCCTAGGACTTGCTGATCAGAAGGGCAGCGGTTCGAATCCGCTCGATGGGGTGAGTTCCCATTGCTCGGTCCCAGCTCCTGCCAACCTAGCAGTTTGAAAGCATGTCAAAGTGCAAGTAGATAAATAGGTACTGCTCCGGTGGGAAGGTAAACGGCGTTTCCATGCGCTGCTCTGGTTCGCCAGAAGCGGCTTAGTCATGCTGGCCACATGACCCGGAAGCTGTACGCCGGCTCCCTAGGCCAGTAAAGCGAGATGAGCGCCGCAGCCCCAGTACCTTTATATGCTATATGGTCACTTATGGAACTAATAAGTACCTAAAGGTATCTAAAGCCATTTGCACATAACAAAATATGTATTTTATCAAAGTAACTGTTGAACTGAAATACAATTAAGAAGTATATACCAGTCCATGCAGAATGTAGGCACTCTATATATAGAAAGGAGCAAACAAGAGATCTTTGGGGGAGCAGGCTAGCAGGTGGGGCCCATGACTTATATCATAGGAGCCTACACAACACAAAACACTGTTGCTGGATGTAGGTTTTATTTTATTAGATTTTTTTTTCTTATATTTTGGAAATGTACATCCAGGTGTTTTTTTTCCTTTAATTTTTTTGGGGGGGCCCCAAGAGAGTGGGGCCCTAAGCTACAGCTTGTTTAGCTTATACGTAAATCCGGCACTGTATCTATATGGCGTGGTTTCTTGTACAAATATTGCGGCACATGGGAGCACAGCTTCCTGCATGGCGGAGGGTTGGACTAGATGGTCCCTGGGGAACCCCTTCCAACTCTGCCATTCTTTGGCAGACCAGTACTGAACCAGAGACTTTTCCGCAAACAGAGCCCACCCTGAACTTCTTTTTTCCATCCCATTCTCTTTGCTCCCGATTGTTCTCAGCCAGCTGAGGATTTAGCGGCTGGCTCTCTCCCGAAGCCCAAAAAGGGGTCCCTAAACCAGCATTTCCCAACCTTGGGCCTCCAGATGTTTTTGGACTACAACTCCCATAATCCTCAGCTAGCAAGACCAGTGGTCAGGGATGATGGGAATTGTAGTTCGAAAACAGCTGGAGGCCCAAGCTTGGGAAACACTGCCCTAAACAACTCAAGGATGTTCCCGACCACTCCTTTTAAAAAATGCTATTGATTTTTCAACAAGCAGAAGAAAAAGAGGCCAGAAAAGGCCAATCTCTAGGCAGACTGTCCCTGGATCAAGGGACTGAGTTTCTCAATATTCCTTCTTTTAAGTTCTCAAAGCTCTTAACCCGGCTCAAGGTTGTCATCTGAAATGTTTACCTGAGAATCGATCGCAGTCAGCCCATCCTTTGAAAAACAAGTCTTGCCCCAAAATGGCAACTAGATGTTGCGTTTTGGCAACTGCAACCTAGGTTTAAGGAGCCATTTGGCCCCTGGCTTGAATACCTGCGTTTCTATCCCTGGCCATAGCTAGTTGGGTTTCGTGGAAGATAATAATAATAATGATGATGATGATGATTTATTTATACCCCTCCCTCCCCAGCCAGAGCCAGGCTCAGGGTGGCTAACACCAGTAAAATTACAGTAAAAATATAATGGGGGGGGGACAATTTAAAATACAGGTTAAAATGCCATTTCAAATGCAGCCTCATTTTAAAAGTAGCCCATAGACACTCAATGTGGCTCTGCCCTTCCTCCACAGCTGGAAACGGCAGGAGGGGAGAGGGGTCTCGGGTTCAAATGCTGCTTGAGGATTTCCCACTGAGTCATCTCTTTGGCCACTGGGAGAACAGGATGCTGGACTGGAAGGGCTGTGGGCCTGACCCAGCAGGCTCTCCTTGTGGCCTCAGGTTATGACAGCTTTCCGCAACCTGTTTTGGACCACAGCTGGGATGGCCAGGAACACCTGGAACGCACCAAGTTGGAGTGCGTGATTTGGGAGAAGGACGTTTCACGGGCTCCTCCACGACGTCCGGTGGTCCGTTGCTGGAATGTCAGTGCCTGTTTCTAAACACTCCTCTGTTTTGAAGAACTGGAGCTTAAAATTAACAGGCATTTCCTGCGGGAACATTTTTTCCCCTTTTGGTGAATATCCAGACCGGAGGAGAGCCGAGAGCCTTGAGCCGCACATTCCCTTCAGCCAGTGAAGCCACAAATCCATGACTCTTGTTCCCAGAAAGCGCCCCCCCCCCCGTCCCTGTATTCCCTGCATTTCATCTCCCACAAGGTTGATCCTTTTCTGGGCCGGCCGATAACATTTTTAACAAGTCCATCCAGATGTGGTGAGGTTCCTTGCCTTTCACCTCATTTTTAGCTACTCTTGATTTTAATTATCTTTGGAGTGTTTTTACACCCCTCTTTTTGTCATGATGAGTATTTAAATATTTTGCTTTACGTTTCTGTCAATGGCTGGGAGGTTTTCTCGCATTCAAGCCTGTGTTTCAGGGGGTTGGGCTGGATGACCCTCGGGGTCCCTTCCGACTGTTCTTCTTCCGTCACGCCAAAGGGGACAAGGAGCCACTTGCAGCCCTCTCCCCTCCACAGCCTTTGACTGGCCAAGCCCAGTTCCCAAATATGCCGGCTCTGGGAAGTGGCTGGGAAGCGCTGTGTTGGGAAACACATTTGGCCGACCCGACTTTCTAGACAGCTTCCAAGGGTGCACCTGCAAATGAAATCAACACACATCTGATACCCTAGTTTCCAAGTTGCAAAGGTGGCTTGAATAATGGACGAAGGAATAAAGAGCAAGTTTTGCTGAATCTGCAGTATAGAAAGATGGTTTCCATATCGCTGTTAAAACTTAAGACCCAGACGACTGGCAGGTCAAGATGGTGGAGTACGTAGAGATGGATGGCCAAGTTGACGGGGAAGATCCGGAATCAGCGTGACGAACTGTTTCCAAAGGACTGGAACAAATTTATACTTTATATGAAAGAAAATTGTAAACATCTGAAAACGTTTGTAGGTTTGAACTGAAATGTTTTGTAATGTAAATATAAGGAACTGATTTACCTATAACAAGGTGAAATATTACAATAAGATAAAAGGGAGGGAAGGAGGTCGATGCTCTTATAGAGTAATGTATTAAGTTATAAAATTATGTAACAAAACATGATTATGATAAAAGTGGGAAATTAAATAAAAATTATTTATAAAAAATATAAAAATAAAATAAAACTTAAGACCCAGACAAGTGAAAGGCAACATGATAGAAGTAGACAGAGAAAAGATTTCCTCGTGCTGTCCTGACATCATAACTTGTAGGCATCTTATGAATCTGAATGTTGGGACATATTTTCCAAAAATTCTTCACGCTGCGCAGTTAACCTATGGAACTCCCTCCCACAGGAGGCAGGGATGGCCACCAACTTGGGTGGCTTGAAAAGAGGATGAGACAGACCTGTGAAGAAATCAGAAGCTTCTGGAACATAGTATATGACGAGCTTAAAAAAATGTCTAAGTATAACTTTATGGAAAATACAGAAGCTTTTCTACTAGGGATAACGGACACAGGTATAGCAAAAGAAGATCAGAAGATATTCCTCTATGCCACAGGAGCGGCAAGGATCCTAATTGCTAAAAACTGGAAAAAAGAAACTGTGCCAACAAAAAAGGAATGGCAAGACAAACTGTTAGAGTCTATTGAACTGGCTAGATTAACAGGCAATGAGAGCTCACACTAGACAAGAGTTTTGAAAAGCATGGGGAAAATGCAGAGAATACTTCACAAAACAGCGCCCTAAAATACATACCTGGACTTGTTTCGATTAATGTCTGCAGGAGACTTTGTGGATATTTAAGTCATAATCAGAAAAATCTTAATTATTCATAAAGGAAACAGCTTATAAGAAGTAAATAAGGAGGCCAGGTACAGGATAAAGGAAGTCTTTTATTTGGTTGTTTGTATTGCTGTATGTTATGCTGTGTGTTAAACCACAGAGCCTAGGACTTGCCGATCAGAAGGTCGGTGGTTTGAATCCCTGCAACGGGGTGAGCTCCTGTCGCTCAGTCCCTGCTCCTGCCAACCTAGCAGTTCGAAAGCATGTCAAAGTGCAAGTAGATAAATAGGTGCCGCTCCAGCGGGAAGGTAAAAGGCGTTTCCATGCGCTACTCTGGTTCGCCAGAAGCAGCTTAGTCCTGCTGGCCACATGACCCGGAAGCTGTACGCCGGCTCCCTAGGCCAGTAAAGTGAGATGGGCGCCGCAACCCCAGAGTCGGCCACAACTGGACCTAATGGTCAGAGGTCCCTTTACCTTTATGTTATGCTCATTGTATGTTATGTTCACGTTTAGTGAGGGTGGATTTCTGTTTGGAGGGTGGGGGGTTTATGTTATGTTGTAAATAAAATTTCCAATGAAAGAAAGGAAAGGAAAGAGGATGAGACAAATTTGTGGGGAAGGAGAGGGCTACCGATGGCTACCAGGAAGGATGACTTTGCCCTGCCCTCCAAAAGCTGGTGGCAGCGATGATTCTGAATCCCAGTTCCTGGGAACTGCAGGACAGGATTGTGTTGGTCTTGTGCTTGAATCCTGATTGCTGGTTTCCCACGGGCGTCTGGTTGTGAGAACAGGATGCTGGCCTCGATGGGTCCCTCCACCCCCTTCTCCCAAAGCAACAAACAGTCCCTGGTGCCTCCTTGCACATCCTTCTGTGCCGCTTCTCCCCAGGGAGGGGGAGCGTCCAAGTCTGCAGCCAAGGAAGGGGCGTGTGCGGGGAAGAGGAGAACAAAAGGCCTGGCAGGGCAGGAGAGAAGGCGAAGGGCAGGGGGAGAAACAAGAAGCTGAAGCACGCTCTCTCCTTCCTTCCTCTTGCCTGTGTGTCACCCCACAGGCCCTTTTCTACTTAAGGATGAAAGGGGAAGCATTTACTTCCGGGTTCCGAAACGTTCGTCAGTGGAGACGTTCGAGAACCGAGGTACCACTGTGCCAATATTTTTATTGTCAGCACCAAAGGAAGCACATATTAATGATTTCTGCTAAAAATGTGTCACATGTGAATTGCAGATTAAATCACGCTTATCAAAATAATAAATAAAAGGTTTGCTGACACCCCCCCCCCAGTGGCGACTAGACATTCTGTTTTGGCACTCACAACTGTAAGTTCCACAGTTTAACTACGTGCTACGTGAATCTTCCAACGTCCGGTTTCATTTGACGTCAACCTGTTCTAGGGTTAGGAGACAGATTGAAAAACTTCACTTTCTCCACTTTCTCCAGGCTATCTGGAGAATCCCCCCTGATCCTGTTCTGGTGCTTTAATTTTTAAGGGACAATTGCAGACATCCTGGGACGTAAGCCCCAAAGCACACACATCTACAGCCACTGACTGGAAGCTGCCCGTCTGGTCACCAGATCCAGAATCGCAAAAACGTGGGCGACTTCCTTTTGGTGTGCCATCGTTGGCGTGGTGTTTCGTTCAAGCTGTTCCTTCCCTTGGCCTCTTGTGTTTGTTTTCATTTTATTTTCAAAATACAGGAGAGAGAGAAAAAAAACTACCCAGTGGAACACTTCTCTTTGAAGCTGATCTCCTGCTGTGCCTTTTCTTTCAGTTTTGATAATAATTTATTAATTTTCCAAAAAGGTAACATAAAAAATAAGCATAAAAACAACACTATATAATGAAGAAAGGGGGGGAACCATCATAATCAAAAATTTTAAACCATAAATTTTGCTTCCCTCCCCTCCTCTTGGTTTCATTGTTTAATACTTGTTCACGCACGTCCTTATAACCTTATAATCTTAATACAGTGGTACCTCTGGTTGTGAACAGGATCCGTTCCGGAGCCCCGTTCGCAACATGAGCAGAACACAATCTGCATGGGTCACGATTCGCTGCTTCTGCACATGCGCGTGACATCATTTTGAGCGTCTGCGCATGCGCAAGCGGCAAAACCCGGAAGTAACCCGTTCCGTTACTTCTGGGTCGCCATGGGATGTATCCTGAAAGAACGTAACCTGAACTGAACGTAACAAGAGGTATGACTGTAATCCAATTTTTCAAGCCTTGTTTATCTTAATACAAGTGAGTTTTGACCTGGTGTGCCTTTTCAAAACTGCCCATGGAAAGAAGGCAGCCTACAAAATCTGAGGGGGACATTTAGAATCGCAGAATTGCAGATTTGGAAGGGACCCTGGGGGTCATCTAGTCCAACCCCCCTGCAATGAAGGAATCACAGCTAAATAATCCCTGACATTTGGCCAGCCAACCTCTGTTTAAAACCCTCCAAGGAAGGAAGAGTCCACCACTGTCTGAGGGTCTTTGTACCACTGCTGGACAGCTCTTGCCCTCAGAAAGTCCTTCCTGGTGTTTAGTCAGAATCTCCTTTCTTTTTCTTCTTTTTTTGGATTTTATAAACTTTATTGGAATTCAGCAATATCAACAACAACAAAACCCACAGTAGTTGCTACATCAAATCATGACAATTAACCAATTTAAACATTTTATAAATACTACTAAGGAAATTACATAGCATCACTTTTAACTTACTGAGGTTTTCATAATACGCTTTTATCTCTTTATCTTTTCCATAACGTATCAGAAAGAGAAGGACCAAGGAAGGAAGCACAAAAAGAGAGAAAAAGAAGAGGGGGGGTGAAGGGAAGGGGGGAAAGGAGGAAGGGAAGAAACCAAAGGGAAAAAACCCGAAAGCAAAATAAACATACCGTATTTTTCGCCCCATAGGACGCACCTAGTTTTTTTTGGGGGGGGGGGAAATAAAGAAAAAAAAAAATTTCCCCCCAGGCCGGGGCTGGCGCGGGGGAAACCCGAGCTTCCCCCAATCCCAGCCCCGAGAACAGCCTGCTATCCGCAAGCCTAGGGAGGCCAGCGGTAAGTCGCGCCGGTCTCCCCAGGCTTCGGAAAGCAGGCAGCTCTGCGCAGCCGTCGGGAGGCGGGTGCGAAGTGGCACCGTTCTCCCGAGGGTTGCGCAGAGCTTCCTGAAGCCTGGAGAGCGAGAGGGGGCGGTGCGCACTGACCCCTCTCGCTCTCCAGGCTTCAGCGAAAGCCTGCATTCGCCCCATAGGACGCACACACATTTCCCCTTCATTTTTGGAGAGGAAAAAGTGCGTCCTATAGGGCTAAAAATACGGTAATTGACTTCCGATTAGACTCATTGTATTATTATTTCTACAGTTTTTTCACACACAGTTCCAAATTATTGTATTTCTTTCTTTGTTTTCATCATATGTCCAGAAAAACATTATGTTTGTTGTTTTACAAGGATCATTCTATTTCTATCGTAGGAGATGTTTGTTATTGTAATACTTTTCCAAATATTCTTTAAAGATTTTCCTTTCTTTCTGTACTTTCTGTTTTGGATACCCTCTAATTCTCCCTGTCATCGTAGGCATCTGTAGATATTGGACCTGCCACTCATTTATCGTAGGTGTTTTGTCACTTTTCCAGTTTTTTGCAATTAAGATCCTGGCTGCTACTATTGTATACATAAAAAGTGGTCTATATTCTTTTTTGATTTCTAGTGACATTATTCCCAGGAGAAAGGTTTCGGGGTTTTTTCTTAAATGAAAACTTAAATAGTTTTTTTAATTCATTGTAGATGTTATTCCAAAATTCTTTAATGGCTGTGCATTCCCACCACATGTGCATTTATGGCCCTATGCCATCCTTACACCTCCAGCATAGAATCTCCTTTCTTATAACTTATAGATCATAGAATCGTAGATTTGGAAGGGACCCTGGGGTCATCTAGTCCAACCCCCTGCAATCCCAATCAACCAACTTGAACCCATTGCTTCAGGTCCTACCCTCCAGACAAGCTTGCTCCCTCTTCCATGGGGCAGCCCTTGAGATATTTGAAGATGGGTCTCTCATCTCCTCTCAGCCTCCTCTTTTCCAGGCTAAATGTACCCAGCTCCTTCGACCATTCCTCATCAGGCCTCCTCTGCACACCTCCCAGCTTGCCGGTACCCTTCTTAAACTGTGGCACTTTTGGGTGGTTGTTCCGTTTTAAAGAGATGAGCCTTTCTCCAAATGTGTGCCAAGGGCAAATCGGTGCTCCTTTTGCTTAGATTTAAGCCACTAAAAAAAAAATCACCTTTTGCCCCTGGTTCCTCAAAATGGCTCTGCATGTTCCGCTTTGCGACTTCCTTGCGGTGTTTGTGGGAAGTGGAGATTTGTGCATTGCAAGGGAACGCTGCCTGCTCCCTCTTTCTGCAGTTCCTACTTCCTTGTGTCTTCTTTTTTTATTTTTATAAATTTTTATTAGGTTTTACAATTGGATATTCGACACATTTGACACATAAAAATAAAAAAGGGAATTCCCCCCCCCAGTGACTTCCCTCAACTTCCCCTTCTTGTTCTTTAAATATATGCTACTTCTGCTTAATTTTATCTTACTTTCTATGATTTTTTTTTGCTAAACACTCTTATATTCTTATCATTTTGATACCAAATTTCCATTCAAATGACATCTTGCACTTAATTAATTTCCATATTGTTGTTTCTTAACCGTCCACTTATTTTCTTAATTGTCAGCGTTTACTCAAACCCTACTAGTAAGTCCAATTCTTTATACTGTTTCTGTAGAGACCGCACAAATGCTTCCCAGTCTTTATTTTAAAGTCTCTATTGTCATTGTCTCTAAGTCTTCCTGTACGTTCCGCAATTTCTGCGTATTCCATAAGTTTAACTTGCCATTCTTCCTTCGTTGGTATCTTACCGTCCTTCCATTTTTGGGCTAGTAATATCCTAGTGGCTGTTGTGGCATACATAAATGACTTCATCCACTCTTTTGGCAATTCCTGCGCTACAATACCTATCAAGAAAGCTTCTGGCATTTTAACAAAAGTTATCTTAAAGTTCTTCTTCAGTTCATTATAAATCATTTCCCAATAGTTTTTGATTACTTTACAGCTCCACCAAATATGATAAAACGTACCTTCTAACTCTTTACATTTCCAGCACTTTTAAGAGTTTGTTCTGTACATTTTTGTAAGTTTTAACAGGAGTCATGTCCCATCGACTTCCTTGTGTCTTGGGAAGAAGTTCTGGGCTCTGGGATGATAACTGAGGCTTCGGTCAGAAGCGTTGACCTCCTCCCTCACTTTCTCCGTTCTCTCTTTTCTTTCAGTGTGCCGAGATTTTGCCGTCCTCGAGGATCACACTCTGGCCCACAGCCTGCAAGAACAAGAAAGTACGTCTCGCCTGGCAGGTGGAACTGGGTTCTGCGATGTGCATTTAACCGTTATCGTTCTGAATGTCCTTGCGTTTTGGTCCCACGCAGACCGCTTTTCTGAATAATGTTTTTATAGGGTGCGGAACCAAAAGGGGGTGGAAACCCCCATTATTTCCTCCACCCTGCGGAAGGGGCCAGCGAGAGAGTGGGGTCCCCCTTGGGGCGCAGCCAAGAGGGTGTTTTGGTCCTCCCAGACCCGCAGCCGAATTAAACATGCCTGTTCTTGTGTCCTCTTGCAGTTGAGCATCATTTGGCGACCAATGTGCAACGCAACCGCCTAGTACAGTATGACTTGCAGATGGCCAAGCAGCTTCAGGAAGAGGAGGACCGCAAGGCACGGGCCCGGATCCAGGAGCGGCACAAAGACCTGTGAGTGTGCGGGATGCGGGGGCCCTTTTGCCTCTGGGCTGCCCCCTCCCTGGTTTAGCTGGGCAGAACCAAGCGGAGCCCGTTGCTCCCTGAAGACTCTGGCGCAGTTCGGCTTTCCCAACCTGGTGCCCCCCAGATGTTCCGGACTGCAACTCCCATCTGTGCCTTCTTAGTTTAGAGAAAAGGGGTGACATGATAGAAGTTTATAAAAACCATTTATGTCATGGATAAAGTGGAGATTTAACACTAGAACTTGTGGACATAGAATTGTGGTGTTTGCAGAGATGCCAAGGGCCAACCAAATCAAGGTTCCCCAAACTTTGGTCTCCAGATGTTTTTGGACTACATCTCCTCCACCAGGGCCAGGGCCTTCTCAGTGATGGCTCCGACCTGGTGGAACGCTCTGTCCCATGAGACCAGTGCCCTGCAGCATTTAACCTCCTTTCGCCCAGCCTGTAAGACAGAGCTATTCCACCTGGCTTTCAATTTGAACTTAGCCTGATCTTTTATTCCCCTTTCTTCCCTCCCTCTCTCCTTTTATGAAGATTCCCTACTCTAGGATCCCACAGCTAATTCTCCCCTGGTCTCCTCGCTGGCCCAAATAGGACTAATTTAGCCAGCTAGCCCTGGGGATCATCTAATGTTTATTGGATGGATTTCCCCCTAAATTGATTTTTGAATTCTGAATTTATTGTTATTCACGTTTTATACTGTATTTTATGCTGTTTTTTGTTGCATCGAATTAAGTGTTTTAAATTTGTTGTTAGCCGCCCTGAGCCTGGTTTTCTGAACCGGGAAGGGCAGGGTATAAATTATTATTATTATTACTATTATCATTCATTGCTTCTAAGTAGGGATGATGGGATTTGTAGTCCAAAACCAGCCGGAGACCCGGGTTTGGGGCGCCCTGGTCTAGTCCAGCCCCCTGCAACGTAGAAATCTCATCTGAATCTCTTCTGGTGAAAGTTAACGTTTGACATTTCAGGACAGGGAAATGGAAGTCCTTCTTCACGCAGCACATAGTCTAAACTTTGGGACTCCCTGCCACAGGAGTCAGGGATGGCCACCAACTTGGATGGCTTTAAAAGAGGATTGGACAAATTCTGGGAGGAGAAGGGGGCTTCTGATGGCTGCTAGCCAGGATGGCTGCTCTTTCTGCAGTTGGAGCCAGCGACGCTTCTGAAAAAGATTCACATAAAGCGAAACGGCAGCTGTATCTCAGCCTTCCCCAACTTGGTGCTCTTCAGGCATTGCATGGGGCAGGGGGGCCCATGGGCACAACAGAAGAGGAGTGTACTGGATCTGACCAACGGCCCATCTAGTCCAGCACCCTGTTCTCTTTTTTTATAATATTTTTTTATTCATTTTAACATACAAATTATAAAATGTACCACAAAACTCATCACTTATACAGTGGTGCCTCGCAAGACGAAAAGAATCCGTTCCGCGAGTCTCTTTGTCTTGCGGTTTTTTCGTCTTGCGAAGCAAGCCGTTTAGTGGATTAGCGCTATTAGCGGCTTAGCGGGCTTAGCAGATCAGCTGATAAGCGGCTTAGTGGCTTAACGGATCAGCTGTTAAGCGGCTTAGTGGCTTAGCGGATCAGCTGATAAGCGGCTTAGCGGCTTGGGAAAAAGGGGGGGGGAAGGAAAAAAACCCCGCAGGAACTCGCAAGACATTTTCGTCTTGCGAAGCAAGCCCATAGGAAATTCGTTTTGCGAAGCACCTCCAAAATGGAAAACCCTTTCGTCTAGCGGGTTTTCCGTCTTGCGAGGCATTCGTCTTGCGGGGCACCACTGTACAATCTTTTTGGACTTCCATTTGCCCTTCTGATGATCCACCGTTTTAACCACTTCTTATGCATTTCTTAACTTTATGTTGCCTTTACATCTCTTAACAAATCCTCCTCCCCCTTGTCCATTTTTACAATACTTCTAATAATACTCCTCACAAAACGTCTTGCAACCCTACAAACGTCGTCTGTTCTTCACAATTACTTTTCAAATAGTCCGTAAATTTACTCCAGTCTTCCGTGAATTTTTGGTCTTGCCGGTTTCGAATCCTTCCTGTTAGTTTATCTCCAGCACCCGGTTCTCACAGCTGCCAACCAGATGTTTGTGGGAGACCAGCGTGCAGGATTCGAACACAGGAGCAATACTCTCGCCTCCTGGGGATTCCCGCAACTGGAATTCAGAAGCATCGCTGCCTCCAGCTGCACTCCATAGTTTAACTATACGCCAAAACAGTGAATCTCGACCTTTTTGCGACTTTGGCCCCCTTCCGACCTTGTTTCCTTCCTGTGCCACACACACAAAACCCGGTAGAAAGGTAGCTATTTTGCCTGTAGATAGAAGACGTTTTATTTACAGTCAAATCTCGGTGGTAGAATGTAATCCGTTCCGGAAGCCCGTTCGGCTTCCCAAACGTTCAACAGCAGAGCCGCGGCTTCCGATTGGTTGCAAAAGCTTCTTGTACTCAAGCAGAAACTGTGCTGGATGTTCGGGTACTGAAAAACGTTAGAAAACCAGGGCATTTACTTCCAGCTTTTTGGCATTCGGTAGCCGAAACATTCCAAAACGGAGCCGTCCGAGAACTGAGGTTTGACTGTATCATTTTTATATAAATTCTATTATTTCACCTGTGCCCCCTTTAGAATATCCCGGGGGGCCCAGGAGGCCATATGGCCCCTGGTTGAGAAACACTGCATTAAGGGTTCAAAAGTTGCACCGGAAGAAAAAGTTGCATGAGTTGTTTTTTCCGTTTCTGTTTTGAGAGTGTTTCCCGTCTTGGTCGCTCATCTCTCAATGAGAAGCCGGGGTCCTGGGCTGCATTTTCTCTCTGCCTTCTACCCCCCCCCCATTCTCTTTTTCTCTTTTCCCATGGACTCCCACCTCTCACCTTTTCCCCTCGGCCACCCCCTCCCCTTTGTCTCTTCCCAGGGAGAGGCAGGACTGTGAGATAGCTCAGGAAATTCAAGTCAAGCTGGTCATTGAGGCAGAACAGCGGCGTCGCCAAGAAGAGGACGATGAGGTCAGTCCTTTGGTGTCGTGGGCAGGGAGGAAAGTGACTGATCTCGGGCCAAATCTCACGTCTTTAAAGGGAAGCGGAGAGGGGGAGAGAACCATCGCCAGAACACAGAAGTTGATTTTTGACTTGCAGCCGTGCATGTCGAAAACAAGGCTGCCAGGAACTTGTCCCCAGTAACGAATATTTCTAGGTGCAGGGATAATAATAATATAATAATTTATTATTTGTACCCCGCCCATCTGGCTGGGTTTCCCCAGCCACTCTGGGCGGCTTCCACAGAACAAAAAATACACTAAAATATCACACATTAAAAACTTCCCTGAACAGGGCTGCCAAGGAGAGTTAGGGGTCCGTTAAGCTGCGTTTGCTACTGCGGAGGCAACAGCAGGAAGCAGCAAATCAAAAGCAAATTTCATTTCATTGCAGAGGGGATCAAAAGGGTCATCAAGTCCAACGCTCCCTCTCAAGGTTTCAGGTCTCCTGGGAAGCCCGATCAACAACTCCTTGTCTCTTGTTACGTTGCGTTCGCGTTTTTTTATAGAATGCCTTTCAGCTAAAAAAAATCCCCCAAGAATAAACAGATGCAATAATGGAAATGCAAACAATAGAAATTCGAAGTATGTCAATGGTAACGTGTGTAGGAACCTAATAGCATCTAGCTTATTTTTAGCTGCAGTTTTGTCAGTATTGTTTAAGGTAAAGTAAAGGGACCCCTGACAGTTAAGTCTGCGGTTGCGGCGCTCATCTTGCTGTACTGGCCAAGGGAGCTGGCGTTTGTCCGCTTCCGCAGACAGTTTTTCTGGGTCATGTGGCCAGCAGGACTAAGCCGCTTCTGGCAAACCAGAGCAGCGCACGGAAACGCCATTTAGCTTCCCGCCGGAGTGGTACCTATTTATCTGCTTGCACTTTGACGTGCTTTTGAACTGCTAGGTTGGCAGGAGCAGGGACCGAGCAATGGGAGCTCACCCTGACACGGGGATTCGAACCGCCAACCTTCTGATTGGCAAGTCCAAGAGCCTCAGTGGTTTACACCACAGCGCCATCCGCCTCCCTGTTTTATCACTTATAAAGGCCTTATTGATTTGTTAATCATATGATAAGTCCCACGCTGCAGTTGTGGTGTTTAGCTTATTGTTTTAGTTGTCAGTTTGTTAATAGTGGTTTAAAGATTGCAGTTGTTTTGCTGGTGATTTTTAAAAAATATATATAATATGATTTATGCTGCACTCGCCACGTGCTGCTGTGTTACTGTTATCTGTAGTGTATAATCTGTTTTGGGGTTTGTTTGAATGAAAAGCGGCGTTAGAAATACAATCCATCCGTCCCTTGAAAGCCAAACACACCCATGCTCCTGTCCAAAAAGGCAAAATAATAACAATAATAATAATTAATAATAATAACGCCCCACCCATCTGGGTGGCTCCGAACAGAATATTAAAAACACGATAAAAGACCAAACATTAAAAACTTCCCTAAACAGGGTTGCCTTCAGATGTCAGGGGGTTGTTTATCTCTTTGACATCTGATGGGAGGGTGTTCCACAGGGCGGGTGCCACTACCGAGAAGGCCCTCTGCCTGGTTCCCTGTAACTTGGCTTCTCACAATGAGGGAAACGCCAGAAGGCCCTCAGAGCTGGACCTCAGTGTCTGGGCTGAACGATGGGGGTGGAGACGCTCCTTTAGGTATACTGGGCTGAGGCCGTTTAGGGCTTTAAAGGTCATCACCAGCACTTTGAATTGTGCTCGGAAACGTACTGGGAGCCAATGTAGGTCTTTCAAGACCGGTGTTATGTGGTCTTGGCGGCCGCTCCCAGTCACCAAAGAACTGGCAAGAACGTTCTTTGCGAAAATGCCAGGGTTTGACCGTCTTCCTTCCTTTAGGACATTGCTCGGATCCTGCAGCAGAAGGAGCTTCAAGAGGAGAAGCGTCGGAAGAAGCCCCACCCAGAGCCCTTGCAGAAGAGCACTTACGATGAGGGGTACTACCCGGAAAGCAGAGGTAAGCGGGACCTCCTCTAGAACCAGGAAGTTTTGTGGTCCTTACCGCAGATCCAGAAGGCTGTGCATTGCATCTTCGCCTTCTGGCCTTCCAGCCCGGGAGGTTTTGTGTCTGCTTGTGGGTCGCAGCAGACGCCAGAGCTGCCTCCGCCAGGTCTGAACTGATGCCGCCCTGTGCCTCATCCTGGCAAGGTGTGTTCTCCCGCTTTTATTCTGGGAAAGCGCTGGAGGTTTCTGGCATGATGAAAAATCAATTATTTTTGGAGGAGGACGGATGCAATGAGAGCCGGACGGATCCTGAATCGGGGACGCTTGCGGGACCGCCTTTCTGATCACCGCCAAATGTGTCGTCTCTGGAAAGATGATTGCTTCAGACAAGAAATTGCAGAGGCTTCTCTTCTCTGAAATGCTTTTGTGATCAAACGCGCCCTGATCCTGAGGGTTTCCGTGGGCACCAAATTGCTGATTTGCTTTCTGGTTGCTGGTGGCAGGTGCCTCTGCCTTGCCCTCGTTCGCACATCTGCACAAACCTCTTTTCCTTCAGCTTGCGTGTGTCGGGAAAGCAGAAGGTTCTTGTAGAGGTCTCTTCCTGCTTGCTGCTGCTCAGAAACCTAAGAGGAAAGTGCTGGATCAGGCCAGAGGGAGCTCCTCTAGTCTAGCATCCTGTTCTCACTGTGGCTACTCAGATACAACAATGCCATGCCAGTACAAGAGTGATCTCTCCTCCTCCATGAAATTCTCTCATCCTCTTTTAAAGCCATCAAGGATGGTGGCCATCACTGCAAGAGAGAATCCTAGAATTGCAGAGTTGGGTGTAGGGCCGGGCGATATCTGGTTTTCAACATCGCAATATATTGATACGTCACAACGACTGAAGGATGGAGCTATGCACAGGCATCGTCAGGCTTCGCGGTTTTCCCTGCATCGTGAATTTTGCCGACACCTGCTCTTGCAGTTTGCTGCCCTCTTCACGAGACAGGGGAGAGTTGAGGTGGCAGAGGTAATGGGCTGCAGGAATCGAGAGAAGCCTTAGCAGGCTTCACGGTTTTCCCCACAATGTGATTTTTGCATTGCACAAAATTAGGAAACTGACCTCACAATACAGTGGTACCTTGGTTCTCAAACTTGATCCGTTCCGGAAGTCCGTTCCAAAACCAAAGCGTTCCAAAACCAAGGCGCTCTTTCCCATAGAAAGTAATGCAAAATGGATTCCTCCGTTCCAGACTTTTAAAAACAACCCCTAAAACAGCAATTTAACATTTATTTTACTATCTAACAAGACCACTTGAAAGCAATAAGCAATGTACTGCAGTCACACAGTCAGTCACTCGGTAGCTGAACTGGGTTCCACACAGTCACAAAAACAAAACAAAAAAGCCACAAAAAACCCACAAAATAAATAGCAAAAACAGACAGACCTCGGTGTAACACTCAAAATGGAAGTGTGGCGCTCAAACTGGAACACTGACTTCCGGGTTTGCAGTGTTTGGGTTCCAAGTTGTTTGAGTACCAAGGCGTTTGAGAACCAAGGTACCACTGTATGGGCTTCAAACCAGTTTTGGATGATATATCAATATATCGCCCAGCCCTGTTGGGTGGGATCCCATAGGTCATCTAGTCCAGCATTTCCCAACCTTGGGCCTCCAGCTGTTTTTGGACTACAACTCCCATAATCCTCAGCTAGCAAGACCAGTGGTCAGGGATGATGGGAATTGTAGTTTGAAAACAGCTGGAGGCCCAAGGTTGGGAAACACTGATCTAGTCCAACCCCTTGCAAAGCAGGGAGTTCCATAGTTCGTGGCGGGTTTTCCCACCCAAGTGGAGGAAGAAGGGCACCCCCCCCCCATTTCCCTCTAGATCTGTGCTTCTTCTTAACAAGGCAGCCTCAACCTGCCAAATATTCCTCCGGCGCAAGCATCTTTTGCATGCGAACTAATAATGCTTCCTTAGACTAGAATGGACTCAAAATGTCACATTAGCCTGCTAACCCAAGACGGCCACCTTTGGTTGCGTCGCCATCATCACCCACCTGTCCTGCCACCGGGGATGGAGATCCCTTTAGAAGGAGTCGCTGGAGCCTGAGCCTGTGGGCAGCGCTTGAACGATGGCCCCTCTCCCCGGTGAAGGGTGCCTGGGGTGCCTTCTGAGCTGCCATGGAGGTCCAGCCGTGAGCCAGAAAGGGCAGCGGGGAGCCTGGTTTTCAGATGTCTTCTAAATGTCAGGTAGTTGTTTATCTCTTTATCTGGTAGGAAGGCGTTCCACAGGGCGGGTGCCACGACCGAGAAGGCCCTCTGTCTGGTTCTCTGCAACCTCACTTCTGGCAGAGAGGGAACCACCAGAAGGCCCTCGGCGCTGGGCCTCAGTGTCTGGGCTGAACGATGGAGGTGGAGACGCTCCTTCAGGTCTACTGAAATCCAGAGCCCCAACTCACGGGGAGAGACCGCAGCTCAGGGTTAGAGCACCTGTGTCTCTACCTGAAAGCAAATGGAACCATACAATGGCAAAGTTGGAAGAGTCCCCCCAAAGATCATCTAGCCCAACTTGCCCCCGCAAAGCAAGAGGCAGTGGGTCCGTGGAAGACCCCCCTCTCTGCTTGAGACCTTGCCATTCAGAGTAAACAGTATGGGGCTTAGTGGACCAAGGATCGGACTCTGTGTATTTCCCCCCCCCCCCCACAAACAATTTTTTATTAATTTTCCAAAATTTTGAGCAAACAAACAAACATACATACATCTGAGCTATACTTAATCCAATCTTAGTAACATTGTTAAGTGACGTCCTCAAATCCCCCCGGCTGAATTTCAGTGTATATCATTGTAACAGTTTTCCAAAACCAATTTTCTCATATAATTAACTTAATCACTTAACATCTTACTTTGTTTTCATTTTGACTTTAAACATATTCTTCTCCAACATCACATATTTAAATCCTAAGACTATCTATTATTTGCAAGTTTTTCCAATTAAGTTATCTTAACATATTTAACTAAATAGTCTTTGAATTTCATCCATTCCTCCTGGTACTCCTCCTCCTTCTGGTCACAGACTCTTCCAGTCAGGTCGGCTAGCTCCGAAAAGTCCATCATCTTCATCTGCCATTCCTAACGACCGGACTCTAATTAAGGCAGCTTCCAATCTGCTTCATTACCTTTGCTTCCTTTTTATGCTTTTCCTCATCCGCCTCTTAGCCTCCCGGCCTTTCCTTTGCTGCTGCAGCTGCTCCTCCTTCTGCCGCCACCCCCTCCCCGTTTGCATGCCATTACGTGGGCTGTTAACCTGTGTGTCACTAACCCATCTCGCTTGTTTGTCTCGCCCCCCACCCCTTCCTCAGACCGCTCGTGCGGGAGCCCCCGGGAGCAGGCTAGACCTCGCCCAGCCCGGAGCGGCGAGAGGGAGCCCCAGAGGCCGAGGGAACCCCGACGGGGCCCCCCTCTATTGTCCGAGGGGCTGGACTTGGAAGTTTTGGGGAGCTCCTCGGAAGCGAGGCAGGCCGGAGGCGGCCAGAGGGAGAGGCAGGACAGGAACTGGGGCGGCCGGGAGAGGCCTCGGAGGCCTCCTTCGGACACGGAGGAGGAAAGCCGTCGGGACGGAGACCGCCGGGAAAGGAAGCTGTCCAGCCAGGAAAGACATTGGAGGCCCTCTTCGCTCGCGCTGGACGGGGAGGTCCAGCCCCACGCAGGGGGGCGGAGAGAAAGGCGGCCAGGGAGCCGAGAGGGTCGCCACAGGACGCCCCCTTTTCCGCTGGACTGGGAAGATGAGAGGGTGCGTCTAGAGAGTGGTGGCCGGCCCCGTAAGCCCCGGGAGAGGCGGTCCCCTAGCTCAGAGAGGTCCCCGCGGCCGGCACACCTGAGCACTGACTGGGAGGAAAGGCCCCGTCTGGGCCGCAGCTGTTCCCCAGACCTGGATCGCCAGAGGCGACCACCCCGCCAGGACCGGGAGTCGCCCAGGCCCCCCTCCCGCGACCCCAGGCTGCAGGACCTGGAAGCACCAGCACCCCGGAGAGGCGGCAGGAGGGACGGAGAAAGGGAACGTCGCAACGGGGCAAGCGCCTCGCCCTCCTCGCACTGCGGGGAAGACCTGGGAGCCGGTGCCCAGCGCCGTAAGGATCCAGGTAACAAGGCGCCCGCGGTGGGCACTGATTTCTGGTGAAGGCATCCCTGCAAAATCTCTCCTCCTCTGGTTCTGTTGGAATTTAATTCAATTTAATTTACGCAAGCTTGGTTCTAATTTTAGCCTGTTGCTGTTTTAACTTTTCCGAAGTTTATTGTTGTTGGCTTTTCTCGGCGGTGATGTTACGGCTTTTATCTTTTCTTTTCTTTTTTGTAAATTGATGTTTGCTTGTTTTTTTGACATTCGAGCGGTGTATACATTTTACGAAATAAATAAAACGGTTCCTGCTTAGGCAACCCTCAAAACACACACCGGGTAGAGAATCCCAGCTTCGTTTGCGTGAAAGTCTCTGGCTTCAGGTAGGAACACGTTAAGTGCAAACTTGGAGTGCGGCTTTCGTTTCTGTGGGTTGGTTTTTTAAAAAACAAACCATCAGAGTCTAATTCTGGCCCTGTTAGTAATGTTCTGCACATTTCATATGTGCTGGAGAACTGTCAGATTCCAGCTGAAGGAACCTTCCGTCGTTCTGAGATATATATATATAAAAAATTTAATCTGTCTCTGTTTGGCTTTCCTGGTTCATTTTCCCTCCAAGCTGAAACGGAGGACAGTCTTGGGCCTGAAAACAAAGGCCGTTCTGTCAGACTGGGGCGGAAGATGCAACAGGCCTTATTTTTCCACACAGGAGGAAAAAATTAGGCGTTCTTGGCTCCCATGCCGACGCCAGATTCGCTTCAGGCCAAGCGCTAGCAGATTGCAAACCAACTTAGAACGGTCTACTTAGGAGAATCGTATTCCTGCCGCGATGCTTTTCCTGGTTGTGCAGTGACATTTTAATCGGCCACTATATCTTGAAAACGGCTCTGCTTTGGACGGTTTTGCAACCTTAGCGCCGGGGAGTTTTCTGCTGCTTAATGCCCTCCTCTGTCGCTACTCCATCATTTGTATTGTGCTGAATCTCAGGCAGCTGCTTCCCAGATGATAAAAACACACAGGCCCCCGCCCGGAGCAGCTGGCGGTCGTGAAACGGCACCGATTCAAAGACTCGGAGGCTGCACCCCGCAGCAGAATAAAGCCAGTTTTCCAAGTAATACTTTGGAGCAGGCATGGAAGGAGTCTTGTCCTCTTGGTGACTGTTATTCTGGGATCCTGTTCAGCATTGCGAGGAATCCCAGAACCAGTAAGCTAGAAGTTCGTAAAAGGATTCATTGCATGGAGAAGCTGGGTAGAGAAAGCTTTTGCTTCCTCCTTGCAATGGCTGTGCAAGTTGGCCATTAAAAATATTTATAAAATCCTCATAATAGGCTTAGTGACAGTGCTTAGCCTCCTTCTCTAGCCTTCCAGCTGTGTTGAAAGGATCTGATGGGAGTTGTAGTCTGAACATCTGGAGGGCACCAGGTTGGGGGAGGCAGGGTTTTCCTGAGTGCCCAGCAAGTGCTTCTCTCTGTATTTGCTGGAACAACGACCTTGCAAGGTAGGTTGGTCCAAAGAACAACTCTGGGCGAATCCCAACAAAATCTCGAAAGCACAACAAAACGTCAGACATTTAACACTTCCTCCGCAGGGCTGCCTTCAGATGTCTTCTAAAAGTCAAACAGTTGCTTGTTTCCTTGACATCTGACGGGAGGGAGTTCCACAGGGCAGGCAGTTAATTCCACAGAGTGGGTTCTCTTCTCGCCCCCATGTTGCAGGTGCATGGCGGATGGACTGATCTTTGCAATTTTCCACACAAACAACATGCACGCTGTTTTCGGTGATATTTCCCCTTTCAGTTTTTGCGATGTTTGCCGTGGCTGAAAATAGCTCCCGTCTATCTGTGAGCAGATGCTTGCATCCTCTTCCTGCTGCTGCTTCTAATCATAGCTGGCTCCCTGTTGCAACCCGAGACATTGCCATGGCTGTGCGGGAGGAGCGCCGAAGCCCCCTTCATCGGCCTCTTTGCACACTTACGGAGCTACCGTATTTTTCGCTCCATAAGATGCACCTGACCATAAGACGCACCTAGTTTTTAGAGGGGGAAAGCAAGAAAAAAAATATGCTGCGCAGAGCATGTAAGCGGCTCTTGCTTTTCTTGCTTTAAACCCTTCCCTCCCTCCTCCTGCTTCGCTGAGAAGCCAGCAGAGCAAGAGCGAGAGCTGCGCAGCGCCTCTTCTGCTGGCTTCCCAGCAAAGAGGGACGAGGGACGAAAGGGAGCTCTTACAAGGGAGCGCTGAGCAGAGCCTGGCAGTGGCTCTTCCTGGCTTTTCTGGGAGGTGTGGGAAGAGACAGAGGGCAGCCTGGCAGTCCCTTCTCCCTCCTCAGGGAAAAGCCCCCAAGAGCCGCACACACGCTCCACACGGCTCTTTAAAGGGAGCGCTGAGCAGAGTCTCCCACCTGCATTCGCTCCATAAGATGCACACACATTTCCCCCTACTTTTTAGGAGGGGGAAAGTGTGTCTTATGGAGCGCAAAATACGGTACTTTCCGGGCAGACTTATTTAAGTCTGTGCGTTCCTTCTGCACCCCGGGTGCTCCTGCAGGTTGGAGCGAACCCCTCCAGGCTGCCTGGACCAGTTTTAAAATTATCTTCCACCGCAGACATCTGCAGCCTGAGAGCATAAGAGCATCTGTGGCCCACCTGGTCCAGCATCCTGTTTTCACAGTAGCTGACCAGATGCCCCAAAAGGAAACCCCAAAACAGGATCCGAGCGCGAGAGCCCTCTCTCTCCCTCCCTGCCTTCCCCGGCAGCTGAGATTCAGGAGCACGGCTGCCTCCGTTTGTGGAAGCGGGGCAGGGCAGAGCCATCGTAGCTGGGAGCTGTTCATAGCCCTCTTCCATGAATTTGTCTGAAGGGGTGGGGAGAGACCCCAGAGTGCACAGAAGACCCCTGGCTGCTCCACATGTTTCGAGTACTATAATTCTTTGTGATGGGTGACTTGCAATTGTGTGCATGCAATCCTAGAATTGGGACCACCAGGGCCATCTAGTCTGACCCCAGCAATGCAGGACTCTTTGTGTCTTGTGTCAGGAGTCTTGTGTTCCACCAACTGAGCTATCTGGAAGCCTCTCAACTGGGCAGAAAGTCACCCAGGTAGTTGCCTCCTCCTGAGTCAGGCTGGCCAATGCAGTTCAGTATTGTTAACACAGGCAGGCAGCCGTGTCTCTCCTGGGTTATATAAATAATAATAATAATAATAATAATAATTTTATTATTTATACCCTGCCTATCTGGCTGGGTTTCCCCAGGCGCTCTGGGCTGCTTCCAATGAAAGATTAAAAATACATTAAAACGTCAAACCTTAAAAACTTCCCTAAACAGGGCTGCCTTCAGATCTTCTAAAAGTCAGATAGTTGTTTCTTTCCTTGACATCTGATGGGAGGGCATTCCACAGGGCGGGCGCCACCACCGAGAAGGCCCTCTGCCTGGTTCCCTGTAATGTCACTTCTCGCAGGGAGGGAACTGCCAGAAGGCCCTCGGAACTGGACATTAGTGTCCGGGCAGAACGATGTGGGTGGAGACGTTCCTTCAGGTCTACTGGGCCTTTGAGGCCGGTTTTAGGCCAGAGGCGTTTCCCGCCTTGCCTGGAGGTGCTCTTGGAGATTGAGCCTTCTGCATGCAAGGCAGGGGCTCTGCCGCTGAGATTACGGCCCTTCTCTGACTTCTGGATCGAGGTGGGATGGCGTAGGTCAGTTAAGGAGGAGGTGTGTTCCATGGAGAAAGTTGCAGGTGGGCAAAGCCTCTGCCTGCATCCCTGGTGGGATGCTCTGAATTGGAATAGATGGACCAACATCAAGCAGTCAAGGTGTCTGTCTTCTAGGAAGACACACAGAACATATGCAGATCCACACAGTCTTCGTAATTTGTGTTACCTTGGTGCAGAACTATTTTTTTATCTGTGTCGGTAGCTCTGAATTTAGCTGGCGCATTAATTATTTCCCCTTCTGTGACTGAGGAATGTGGCTTCTCGTCTCTTAAGGAACGAAAACGCGGGGGGCGAAGGATGCCAGTTACCACAAAGGCCGCCCAGCAGCCCCCCAGGACCAGGAGCTCTACGATGCAGAGATCGCCCGGAAGCTGCAGGAGGAGGAGCTGTTGGTGAGTGGGACGGATTTGGGCTTCATCCCAGAGACACAGAGAGAGTGTTTGGGGGTGGAAGTGACTCTGAGTTTGGAGCACTGAGGATCATTCAGTAGCAACAAGCAGCGCTGGGTACCATTAAGTGTTTCAGCAGCACATGTTTCACTGTGATGCAGCAGCAAAAAAAGCTAATGCGATTCTAGGCTGCATCAACAGAAATCTAGTGTCCAGATCAAGGGAAGTCATAGTTCCACTCTATTATGCCCTGGTCAGACCACACCTGGAATACTGGGTCCAGTTCTGGGCGCCACAATTTAAGAAGGATGTTAACAAGCAGGAAGGTGTGCAGATGAGGGTGACCAAGATGATCAAGGGTCTGGAAAGAAAGCCATATGAGGAGAGGTTGAAGGATCTGGGTATGTTTAGCCTGGAAAGGGGAAGACTCCAGAAATGATACGGTTGTTGTTGTTGTTAAGTCGTTTAGTCGTGTCTGCCTCTTTGTGACCCCCTGGACCAGAGCACGCAAGGCACTCCTGTCTTCCACTGCCTCCCACAGTTTGGTCAAACTCATGCTGGTAGCTTCGAGAACACTGTCCAACCATCTCATCCTCTGTCGTCCCCTTCTCCTTGTGCCCTCCATCTTTCCCAACATCAGGGTCTTTTCCAGGGAGTCTTCTCTTCTCATGAGGCGGCCAAAGTCTTGGAGCCTCAGCTTCAGGATCTTTCCTTCCAGTGAGCACTCAGGGCTGATTTCCTTCAGAATGGATCGGTTTGATCTTCTTGCAGTCCATGGGACTCTCAAGAGTCTCCTCCAGCACCATAACCTCCTTCACATATCAAAACAGCTGTCCTATGGAAGGTGCAGCAAGCTTATTTTCTGCTGCTCCGGAGGGTAGCCACCTAGTCCAACCCCTGCAATGCCAGACTCACAGCTAAACCATCCCTGAGTGGCCAACTTCTGTTTAGAAACCTCCAGTAAGTCCTAAAAGGCTTCAGCTGGAAAGAATCGCTTCTGACCAACCATGCCTGGGTTTCTTGTTTCACGAAAGCTCTTGTTTTTCCTCTTGTCTCCTCTTCAGGCCAGCCACGTGGACAAGAGAGCAGCGCAGGTCGCCCAGGATGAGGTAAGCATTTGCATATGCAAATAAGGGAATGGGGAGTGTCTGCCTTTGGAGCTGAGGAGGCAACTGGCTTTCTGAGATCTTGCTTCTTAGTGGAGCTCCAACTCCAGACTCTTTCCACTGATCCCCCTCCTTTCCCCTCTTTGTGTTCAAGCTCAGGCTTGCAAATATCTCTGCGTAGGGAGCCTGCCAACAGCTCTCCCCTTTGCTTCCTGCCATTGGCTGCCTCTCTGCACCGCCCACCCCCCCAAAAAAGCTGGCCTCGCTCAGAGCCAGACCCAAACCCTCCTTCCCTCATACAGAGAAGGGGTCCTGGCACCTGTTGTGGTGCTAGGATACTGTTTGTTGACCTGCCGCCTTTCAGCCAAAAGGCTCTCTGGAGTAAATATGCATGTAGATACAAAATGATGTGAATGATGAGAATTGAACAGGGATGCAAAAGCGAGCAGTGAAAGAGATGAAAGCATCTTTGACGAAAGCTTTTCTGCAGGAGGGGAGAGCGCAGTGGGGCTCAGGGCCTGCTTGTGGGATTTCCTTGTGGGAGTCTGGTCGGCCACTGTGAGGAGGAGCCCAGCTGCCTGGCCTCTTCTTAGCTCCTTGGGATTCCTAAATGGAGCCATGGACAAAACCAGCCTACCTTAATCACGGTAGAGAACAAGAGCGGGAGAAGCTCTTCCACTCGCATCCTGCTGGAGGGTTTCGGCCCCTGTGAGGATGCTGGTCTAGGTGGGTCCCTCGTGGGCCTAATCCAGCTGCTGAGCTCCTTGTAACATTCTATTTATATATACATTTTTGTTGCTGTTGTCGTTTAGTCGTGTCCGACTCTTCGTGACCCCCTGGACCAGAGCACACCAGGCACTCCTGTCTTCCACTGCCTCCCGCAGTTTGGTCAAACTCATGCTGGTAGCTTCGAGAACACTGTCCCACCATCTCGTCCTCTGTCGTCCCCTTCTCCTTGTGCCCTCCATCTTTCCCAACATCAGGGTCTTTTCCAGGGAGTCTTCTCTTCTCCTGAGGTGGCCAAAGTATTGGAGTCTGAGCTTCAGGATCTGTCCTTCCAGGGAGCACTCAGGGCTGATTTCCTTCAGAATGGAGAGGTTTGATCTTCTTGCAGTCCATGGGACTCTCAAGAGTCTCCTCCAGCACCATAGTTCAAAAGCATCCATTCTTCGGCGATCAGCCTTCTTTATGGTCCAGCTCTCGCTTCCATACATCACTACTGGGAAAACAATGGCTTTTACTATATGGACCTTTGTTGGCAAGGTGATGTCTCTGCTTTTTAAGATGCTGTCTAGGTTTGTCATTGCTTTTCTCCCAAGAAGCAGGCGTCTCTTAATTTCGTGGCTGCTGTCACCATCTGCAGTGATCATGGAGCCCAAGAAAGTAAAATCTCTCACTGCCTCCATTTCTTCCCCTTCTATTTGCCAGGAGGTGATGGGACCAGTGGCCATGATCTTTGTTTTTTTGATGTTGAGCTTCAAACCATATTTTGCGCTCTCCTCTTTCACCCTCATTAAAAGGTTCCTTAATTCCGCCTCACTTTCTGCCATCAAGGTTGTGTCATCTGCATATTATTAGGTTTTTTTAACATATCATTTTCAACAGTAATTAAACTTTTACATCTTATTCAAATTTTCGACTTCCATCAATCCTGTTTGAAAATTTCCCAATCTAATCTCTCAATATGCATTTCTTATCTTCCCTATTACATTTCAAACTCATAACTATCTCTTATCTTTTTTTACTTGGTAACACTTCGTATATTTCTCCTTACAAAACTTCTTGTAGTCCTACTAGTGTAATTTGTTGATTACAGGTGCTCTTCAAATAGTTCATATGCTTCTTCCAATCTTCTGTAAATCTCTGGTCCCGCAGGTTTTGAATCCTTCCTGTCATTTCGTCCAATTCTGCGTAGTCCATTAATTTCGTCTGCCATTCTTCTTTTGTCGGAATTTCTTCTTGTTTCCATTTCTGGGCTAACAATACTCTTGCCGCAGTTGTTGCATATAAAAACAATTTAACATCTTGCCTATTAATGTCCTGATCTATAATACCAAGTAAAACTGCTTCTGGTATTTGAAAAAAAGGAATATTTCAACATCTTTTTCATCTCATTATATATCATTTCCCAGGAGTTCTTTACTTTTTTTACATTCCCACCACATATGATAAAATGTTCCTTTTTTTTCCTTTACATTTCCAACATTTATTATTTGTCTTATATATTTTAGCTAATTTCACTGGTGTAATATACCATCTATACATCATTTTCATCATATTCTCTTTCAAAGCATCCTTGTAACGTTCTTATCCTGCTGTTTCTGCTAGGAAATAGCTCGCCTGTTGCTGGCAGAGGAGAAGAAGGCTTACAAGAAAGCCAAGGAACGGGGAAAGTCTTCTCTGGAGAAGAAGAAGCAGGACCCAGACTGGAAGGTGGGTGATGCGTCTGGAGTTGACTTTGTCTCTCTTTGCCGGGCGGAGCTCTCCTACGATGATTGATTTAATCTGCCCAGGGCAACCCAAAGCGACTTACAACTAAACCAATAGATAGCAAACCTGCACAGGTACATTAAAACCAAGAGGAAAGAGAAATCTATTAAAAGCATCCCCAAGGCCAAAGGAATTACAGTAGTACCTTGGTTCTCAAACTTAATCCGTTCCGGAAGTCTGTTCCAAAACCAAAGCGTTCCAAAACCAAGGTGCTCTTTCCCATAGAAAGTAATGCAAAACAGGTTAATCCGTTCCAGAGTTTTAAAAACAACCCCTAAAACAGCAATTGAACATGAGTTTTACTATCTAACAAGACCATTGATCCATAAAATGAAATCAGTAAACAATGTACTGCATTCACACAATCAATCAATCAGTCAGTCGCTGAACTGGGTTCCACACAGTCGCAAAAACAAAACAAAAAGAGCTGCAAACAGCGTAACACTCAAATCGGAAGCGAAACACTCAAAACGGAGCATGTTCAGCTTCTGGAAAAAGTTCGCAAACTGGAACACTGACTTCCGGGGTTGCAGTGTTTGGGTTCCAAGGCATTTGAGAACCAAGGTGCCACTGCAGTCTGATCCTCTTTTAAAGGCTTCCCAGTTGGTGGCCCTGGCTGGCTCCTGGGGCAGGGAGTTCCACAGGTTAACTCTGCGCCGCGTGACGGAGGACTTTATTTTGTCGTGTTCCGGTCTGAGCTGACTGCCTTCCTTTCCCTCCTCTCCCCAGCACGACTCACACGAATCGGTGCGCCCGAGGTCAAGGGAAGGTCACGAAGGTCACCGGTCCAGAAGCGACAAGCCAACGAGGTGAGAGGGATCCCCGATCCGTGATCCAGGAGTGCAGGTGGGGAAGCCTCATCTGGTCAAATGGCCTCGGCTGGTGGTGTGATGCCAGGATGCATTTTTTGGTTTGTGTCTCCTTCATCTCCATCTCTTTAAGGCAGGCTTCCTCAACCTCGGCCCTCCAGATGTTTGGGACTACAACTCCCATCATCCCTAGCTAACAGCACCAGTGGTCAGGGATGATGGGAATTGTAGTCCCCAGACACCTGGAGGGCCAAGTTTGGCCATGCCTGCTTTAAGGGGTTGGACTTTGCAGTTTTGTGATTCAATTATCTATCTCCCTGCACATAGAAAACTAGTAATAATAATAATAATAATAATAATAATAATAATAATAATTTATTATTTATACCCCGCCCATCTGGCTGAGTTTCCCCAGCCACTCTGGGTGGCTTCCAATCAAGTGTTAAAAACAATACAGCATAAAATACTAAAAACTTCACTAAACAGGGCTGCCTTCAGATGTCTTTTAAAAAGAAGATAGCTGCTTATTTCCTTCACATCTGAAGGGAGGGCGCCACCACCGAGAAGGCCCTCTGTCTGGTTCCCTGTAACCTCACTTCTGGCGGAGGGATCTGCCAGAAGGCCCTCAGAGCTGGACCTCAGTGTCCGGGCTGAACGATGGAGGTGGAGACGCTCCTTCAGGTGTACAGGACTGAGGCCGTTTATGGCTTTAAAGGTCAGCAGCAACACTTTGAATTGTGCTCAGAAACGTACTGGGAGCCAATGTAGGTCTCTCAGGACCGGTGTTATGTAGTCTCGGCGGCCGCTCCCAGTCACCAGTCTAGCTGCCGCATTCTGGATTAGTTGTAGTTTCCGGGTCACCTTCAAAGGTAGCCCCACGTAGAGCGCATTGCAGTAGTCCAAGTGGGAGATAACCAGAGCATGCACCACTCTAGTGAGACAGTCTCCGGGCAGGTAGGGTCTCAGTCCACGTACCAGATAGAGCTGGTAGACAGCTGCCCTGGACACAGAATTGACCTGCGCCTCCGTGGAAAACTGTGAATCCAAAATGACTCCCAGGCTGCGCACCTGGTCCTTCAGGGGCACAGTTACCCCATTCAGGACCAGGGAGTCCTCCACACCAGTCCGCCCCCTGTCCCTCAAAAACAGTACTTCTGTCTTGTCAGGATTCAACCTCAATCCATTAGCTGCCATCCATCCTCCAACCGCCTCCAGACACTCACACAGGACCTTCACCGCATTCGCTGGTTCTGATTTAAAAGTATGTCGGGTAGAAGGGAATCACCTTCCCCCTGGCACCTAGCTTTCTAAGTGCAGAGAGGAAGGTTGAGCCAGAGGAGATTCTACCTGCAGCGCACGTCACATGGCGGGTCCTCACCTCAGCAAAAACTTTCCCTGCTTCCCTCTCAAGCTATGCAACCAGATCGCCAGCCCTTTGGCTCACAATATTGTGTCGTGCGCAACCGCTGGTGCTTCGTTGGCATCATGTGAACGTTTCACAGCGGGTGCAGAGTGCTTTCAGTGCACGGGGTTAGGTCCCATTTTACAGATGGAGGGACTGAGGCTGAAGTTGATTTTTAACAGACGGAGGCTCAGTCCTGTTTGTTTCGTAAAATTTACACGCCGCTCGATTGTAAAGGGCAGGGGAGCAGAGACCCTCCAAGCAGTTTGCAGAGAGAATAAATCAGTAAGATGACCCGCAAAAAACAAGTACCGTATTTTTCGCTCTATAGGACGCACCGGAGCATAGGAGGGGGAGAACAGGTAAAAAAATTTTTTCCTTGTTCTTCGCCCTCTAAAACAAGCCTCCGGAGAGCAGCGGGAGTTACCTTGGAAGCCTGGAGAGCGAGAGGCGTCGGTGTGCACTGACCCCTCTCACTCTCCAGGCTTCAGTGAAGGCAACCCGAAGCCTCTGGAGCGCGGGGGGGGGGGGGGTTCCCGCTGGGCTCCGGAGGCTTCAGGTTCTTTTTGACCTGCTCTTTGGGGCTGGCGGGGGGAAGCACTGCTTTCCCCCACCGCCAGCCCCAAAGAGCAGGTTGGGGAACAGCGCAAAGGCTGCGTGCAGCCTTGCCGCTGCCCCCCGAGCTTGTGGGGCTGGTGGTGGGGGGAAGCGCTGCTTTCCCCCACCGCCAGCCTCAAAGATCCCTGAAGCTTTTGGAGCGCAGCGCAAGTTCTGCTGTGGAGGTTCCAAAGGCACCCCGCTGCCCTGCGGAGGCTTTGCACAGCTAACCCCAAGCTAGAACAGCGAGACGGAGCTTTGGGCTTAGCCGCGCAGCCTGCATTCGCTCTATAGGACGCACACACATTTCCCCTTAATTTTTGGAGGGGAAAAAGTGCATCCTATAGAGTGAAAAATACGGTATTTAAAACACTAAAAAAGTGATTGGGAGGGGGAGAACCAGCTGTAAGTGGACCCTTTGGGGGAAGGCTTTGCAGCGTCAACCTTTTGGGAACAGGCTGGCCGACAGATCCTTTTTCCAAACCGTTTCCCTGCTCTCTTTGCCAGGCCTCCTCCTCCACCCTCTGAGGATCTGGACCACCTTTGTAACCTTACAAGCCAGCAGAACTTGGCACATCAAACGCCCAGACCAGAGCCTTCTCATAAAGGTGAGGGGGGCAGCGCCCCCACCCACTCGGGGGAATAGTGGCACTCCTTTTCGGTCTCCAACTTGCTTATTTTTGGGGTGCTGTTGGCCCATCTAGATTGAACATCTGATACCCTTTCAGACGTGTTGTGGGGGAGGCTGTGGGTTATTGACTTGTTTCTCTTCCTGTTTTTATTATGTATTTTTGTTGGGGGTGGGGCAGGTTTCTTGTATGCTTATGCTGTGAACAGCCCTGAGATCTACGGATGAAGGGCAGTAGACAAATTTAATTAATCAAAATAATAGTCCAACATCCTGTGGCCCACCTGATGCCCGAATGGGAAACCAGGAAGCAGAACAGAAACAAAGGAGCACACTCCTCCTGACAGACAGAATTTTATTTTATTTTATTTTATTTTATTTATTTTATTTTTTCCAACAACTGGAATCCAGATGTATTGCTGGCCTCTGACTATAATACTGTGATGTTGAATTCCTTGCTTTATACTTGATGTTGCAAACGTACTTTTAAAATTTGCAGAATACAGAACATTCTTAGGCTTTTTTAAAAAATATATATATTTATTATATTTATTAGTTTTCCATTAAAAACATCGAATTAATATCAAATCCAATCATAATCCAAATCAAGGGGAAAAAACCAAATTACAATCCAAATTATTAATTATTAAATTTCGAATGGGCTTCTGGACCTTCAAGGTTCAGAAGTATTCTTAGGCTTTTGATCCCGTCTGGGAATCTGCCAACTATATTGCTGCTACAGCATAATCACAAGGCATACCTTCCATCATTCCACATTGTTCTGTGAACTGCCCTGAGACCACCAGGTGTAGGGCGGTTTAATAATAATAATAATAATAATAATAATAAATCCTGACTAGTAGTCTTATATACAATTATATATAATTATATACCATTATATACAATTTTTTTATACCTAGAAAGAAAACGAAACAAAAAAGAAAGAACAAAAGGGAAAAAACAAAAACAATTTCCCCCCCAAAATCATATACATACCAACACACTAGACTTCCTGTCTTTCCCGTTGTATATTCCTTTTTTTTACAAATGAACGTACTCTTAGTATTGTATGTTTCTTTACATATTACCTAATGCATTCCTATATCAATATGTGCTCTTAGTCTTATTTCTCAACTCAGTCTCACTCCAACGTCAATCAAATGCTAGCATAGATAGCAAACCTTTACTGTACTTTTGAACATATGTTTTATATCTATCCCACTTTTCCATAATTTTTTGTTTTGAATTGCCTCTCAGGGTATTTGTTAACTGCACCCTTTCAGCAAATTCTTGTAGCTGCAAGCTGCAAAATTTAAATTTGAAGTGTTGGCCTCTCGAGAAAGCCTCTGCCACGGGCCATCTCACTCGCAAGCAGGAAAGGGAAATGAGATTCGAGAGCTCTGCGGTCTTTTAAACAGGAAGGACTGATTTAAACTTGCCGATACGCTTACCTAATTTATTTATAGAAATATTTATATACTGCTGTTTCATACAGATATCAAAGCAGTTTTAATACAAAGGTACAGAAGGGAATCCACGCAAAAAGTTAAAAATGGACCCCAGTTAATTTAGATGTAAGACGTTTTAAGAACTGCAACATGTTCCTGCATTCTTTTTTAAAACATGTTGATATACGGCACTAAAATAATAGCATCTTTGTTTTCCACAAGAGCTGAAAGGTTTGTTGCTCTTCTCAAGACAGCGAGGGGACTGAAAGCAAGTTAATATTTCTCTTTCTTTCATTTGCAGGTTACCACTATAAGCAGTAGGACGAACGAGGCAATTTTTTTTTGCTGATACTGACTCTCTTCTGTAGCAAACTTTGCTGGAATCCTTCCTGGAGATCTCCTGGGTTCCTTCCAGCCTCCAAGGATCTCCCGGGGAATGGCCTCCTTCCTGAGCATCGTGACGTCCACAAACAGTGCCTCTTCTTCAGTTCGTTGAGTTTCTCCCTTGGCGATCTCCCTCCGGTCTCCTGGGCAGGGCAGTTAAATCTGGCTTTTGTGGGGCAGCTTTTTCACAGCCCACCTCTCCCGTCGCGCATTTTGGTTTTGGGATCACGTAGCGCCATCTTCCGGCCGCCACTGCCCAGCGAGGATCTCGTGGGGCTGGGAAGAGGGCAGCCGAAACAAGCCCAGGGTCGTAGGGTTGAGAGGGATCCCCAAAGGTCATCCAGCCCAACCCGCTGCAATGCAGGAACCACAGCTTTAAAAAATCCCTGACAGTGGGCCGTTCAACCTCTGCTTAGAAACCTCCCATGAAGGAAAGCCCACTACCTTCATGATAAACGGAACAGGGGAGACTCCCCAGCGAGGAAAAGCGATGGTGTTTGGGGCTGTTTCTTTTAATGGGGGGAAAGTGTGATGGAGATTTCCCCTCCTTTGCGGAGACCGTGGGGACAAAGAGGTTTCCCCCTCCTCTCTCGTAATTCTAGAACCCAAACGCCTCTGACTGAAATTTGGGAGATTTCAGGGCAGACAAAGAGGAAGCGGTTACAGTGGTACCTTGGTTCTTGAACTCCATCCGTTCCGGAAGTCCATTCAACTTCCAAAACCAAGGCATGGCTTCTGATTGGCCCCGGAAACAATGCCGACAGCCAAAACGGACATTCGGCTTCCCAAAAAAATGTTTGCTAACTGGAACACTTACTTCTGGGTTTGCAAGGTTCGGGAGCCGATTTGTCCGCCAGCTAAGCCGTGCGGGAACCAAGGTAGCGCTGTAGTCATGCAGCACGAATTTAAAACAGAGCATCGGCTCTCCCAGTATCTAGCAGTGGCCACGAACTTAGATGGCTTTCAGAGAGGGGTCGACATAACGCAGGAGATGCTCTGAGTACCGTATTTTTCGCTCCATAAGACACACTTTTTTCCTCCTGAAAGGTAAGAGGAAATGTGAGTGTGTCTTATGGAGCGAATGGCGCTGCGCACAGAGGGAGAACTGCGCAGTCCTTCAGCGACGCACCTGTCCTGGCTTCTGCCTTAGCCGTGCGCAGCCTCTTTGGGCACGGGGAGCCTTCATCCCGCTGCCCTGAAGAGGCTTGGCGCGGTTATCCCAGAAGCCAGAACAGCCACACGGTATCCCAGAAGCCAGATCCCTCTTGCTGTTCTGGCTTCTGGGATTCAGAATAATTTTTTCTTGTTTTCCTCCTCCAAAAACTAGGTGCACCTTATGGTCCGGTGCGCCTTATGGAGCGAAAAATATGGTACCATTTGCTGGGAATTGCCAATTTGAAGAGGGCCACAGCACTCCTGGCTGGCTTGCAGGCTACGCATAGATGTGCATCTGGCCAGCCAGTGTGAGAAGACGATGCTGGATTGGGGGGGGGGACCCCCGTTGGCCTGATCCAGGGGAGATGCTCTTGCATCTTTTTTGCCTCCTGCAGTTCACAAGGCCGCCATTTGCCAACAAGATGTTCTCTGGCTCTTTCTCTCTCTCCTTCCCTCTTTAGCGCGAATGCAAACAGGAGACAAAAATGGTTAATTCCACCTTCTAGGTGGAAGCGTCACATGGATTTGAGAAGATGAGAAGGTGGTGTCGATGGTCTTTTTAAAAGCCGCACCATTGTGATATTTAAGGCAGCTTTACTCAGGCATAGCAAAAGTGCAGTCTCCTGGTGTATAAATTCACCGCATTCCCTCACCTTAACTTCACACATGCATAGAAACTTGAGTCATTTCAGGCTGGCTCCAGGCTGAGTTTTTCCTGCACAAATGTTCTCGACATATTCTGAATGAGATACAACTGCCAAACATACTTTCGGCATTGCCCCGCTTCTTCTGAAACGCCTAACAGGTTAGCTACTGGCCTTAGACTTACTTTCCTCTTCATTTACAGAAGTTTCAGCCTTTCAGGTTTCATTCGTATTTCTGAAACAATGAGGCCTAGGAACTTTAAAAAAGCACACTATAGCAGGCTGTTCTGAAGTGCCTTGGGCGGGGGGGTGGGATCCAGGTTGCCCACTTTGCCCTAAGATGCACCACATAGAAATAAATTTTAAAAAAATCAAAAAATTGTCCAGTAGCACCTTAGAGACCAACTAAGTTTGTTCTGGGTATAAGCTTTCGTATGCATGCACAGGAAAGCTTATACGCAGAACAAACTTAGTTGGTCTCTAAGGGGCTACTGGACAATTTTTTGATTTTTTTACTTTATTTTGACTGCGTCAGACCAACACGGCTACCTACCTGAACCATCTACACCCTGGAAAAACCCCTCTAAAGGAATGGCTCTCCTCTCCTTCCCAGACTTGCGTCCCGGCCTAGATTTCACTGCCCTGCCCTCCCCTCCTGATCTTTTAGGTTTGTTTCCCCTTTTTGGTCAGAAAGTGTTAACTCTCCCTTGCAGCAAATCAACCGACACACACATTGGGACTTTCCGTTCTGTCCTCCATCTCCCACCGTGCCATGTCCAGTGGTCTGGTTGTTGTTGTTTTTTAATATATGGTTTATTTTTATATGACATAGAATAGTCAATGGTTGGTTGGTTGATTATTTTTTTTAACTGATGAAGCTGCCATTTCCCACTTCTCCCGTGTTGCTGCATCCCATCAAAACCTTGTATTTATTATCGCTCAGCGTTGAACGATGCTGTTTCAGGTGCCAAAAGCTTGCCTGTGTACACACACAACTGGGGTCTCTTCCTCCGTTGCTAAGTCTTGTCAGCCGCTCCCATGATGCATCTTTGGGGGGTCTTTTCTCCATTTCCCCTGCGGGGTGCGCAGAGGCCATGAGTCTGCTGACGTTCAGCACAGGGAAAGGAAATGGAGAGATGCTTAAACCTCCGGATGTCTCCCCCCTGGTTGGACATTGGGATCATGGCGGGGAGAAAGGGTCTTCCTCTTGCCCTCTGTCCCCAGATTACTTGCTGGTGCCTCCACCCCCCAAACATGCTGGGAAACTTTGGGGAGGTCCTGTCAAAGGCTAGGTTTGGGGGCCAAGACTTTCTTCTTAAGGACACAGACATACACTGGGCTTTAAACGCATTAGGTTCTTGCAAGGGTGAGTGCAGACAGTGGGGTCCTTCGTGCAGGAAATTTTTTTCCTGAGCAAGCCTCCTTGAATTTGGCACTGTTCCCTATCCTCTGCTCCTTTCCGTGCAGGTTTCCAGTCGGTTGCTCCAAAATGGTTTCCCTTGGCATGCAGGTGAAACTGGCTTGTCCAAAGCTCATCATCCAGCACAGGGGTTCCCCAGCCTTTGGGGCCACTGCCCCCTTTGTTCCATAAACTCATCCCCGGTGCCCTCAAACCCTATTCAAAAGCCTTATTCAGAATAATGCTTTGCACCACCCACTAAAGAAGGTAATTCAAGTTCAAAACAGTAACAATTGCACATTTATTAAGTTGCGGGTGGCACTGTGGGTTAAACCACAGAGCCTAGGACTTGCTGATCAGAAGATTGGTGGTTCGAATCCCCGCGACGGGGTGAGCTCCCGTTGCTCGGTCCCTGCTCCTGCCCACCTAGCAGTTCAAAAGCACGTCACAGTGCAAGTAGATAAATAGGTACTGCTCCGGTGGGAAGGTAAACTGCGTTTCCGTGCGCTGCTCTGGTTCGCCAGAAGCGGCTTAGTCCTGCTGCCCACATGACCCGGAAGCTGTACGCCGGCTCCCTGGGCCAGTAAAGCGAGATGAGCGCCGCAACCCCAGTCGGCCACGACAGGACCTAATGGTCAGGGGTCCTTTTACCTTTACCTTTTAACTCATATCTCCTCTCAAGTCTCCTCTTTTCCAGGCTAAACATACCCAGCTCCTTCAACCGCTCCTCATCAGGCTTAGTTTCCTTGATCATCTTGGTCTTCTGCCCACTTTCCAGCTTGTCAACATCCTCCTTAATTTGTGGTGCCCAGAATTGGACACAGCATTCCAGGTGTTTGCCTGACCAAGGCGGAATAGAGTGGTACTCTGATTTCCCTTGATCTGTGGGCACTAGACTTCTGCGGATGCAGCCTAGAAGAGCATTAGCTTTTTTTGCTGCTGGATCAGACGCCACGGTGGGCCGGAGAGTGTGCGCACGCACGCAAGCGCAAATGCTATTTCTGGCGCTCCTTCTGGCGCAGAGGAGGCGTGCGCAGCTTCCCGTTGGCTGCAGGAGTGGGCGGCGGGGGTCCCTGAGCGGGCAGTGGGGGTCCATGGGCCGCTTGTGGCCCATGGGCCTTAGGTTCCCGGCCCCTGTCCTACCCACTCCTGGGAGGAAAGGCCTAGAAAGGAAAGTGCCCTTTGCAAAGGCTGCCCCCTTTGTAAATGCCATCCATGGGTCTCCCTGGGCACATCCCAGGTCTCATTGCCCAGGTGAGCTTCCCTGGCTCCAGCTTGCAACGAGAGCCGGCACCACTAGGCCTGGGGTTCCCAGGGAGGCATGATTTGTAGCATTGGGGCGCTTAGCTGAGATTGTAGCACCTCTCCGCCCACCCCTCAGGGAACTTTGCACACAGCTGGGGAGCTGGAGCCTTTCGTCTTGGGGTGTTGGTTCCTGGTCTCCATGGCTGATCCCCCTTCAAGATATGTGGAGCACAGTGGGAGGCATTATGGACACCTGAACCTCAGGAGCAGCTCCTGCTGCAAAGTGCTTCCTGGCCCACTTTGGTTGGAGGCAACCCCCACCTTGCGCACTTAAAAGCACAAAGTTCCATGTCACACACACACACAAACCTGCCACTTACATTACTTCTGCCTGAAGACAAGAGTCCCCCCAGTTAGCAAGCAATACCGCTGCCCGTTCCCTCCCCAGCATTTCATGTAGGGCGGCTTGCGGCTTTCCTCTTCTGCAGCTCCCGGGTGGAATCGACACACACATTAAAAACGCTGTGAAAATGCTTTGTTTTAAAAACGCATTGAATTTTGCCTAGCTCTCTGTTGCCGCCTAGTGCCACATTTGTATATTGCACTTTACAACACCTTTGAAGCATTTTATTTGTAGCTGAGTCCCCGGACAGGGAGTTCTCCCTCGGTGCCTCCTTCCGCGTTTCCGTACTGTAGTACCTGTCCCCAAACTACCTTCTTTGGCAGAGGAATAACCAGCAGCTGCTTCTCTTTAGCCGCCATTCTCCAATGTAGCATGTGGAGGTTTGGCTTTGGAGATTCACAGCTTGAGCCCACCCTGTCCCATTCCTTTCCAGGAGCTATAAGGTTTCTCGCCCCTAAAGTTGCTTCCACGCTGGGACTTTCTGGCCCGGCTGAGGCTTCCCTTTTCCCCCAGTCAGCTGGAAGAGAAATTCATAGGGTGACTTCTCAGTGCACTTAAAAGAACACTTTCTCTTCCCCTCAATTAACAGCCCTTTACTCTGCAAAGCTCCGACTACTTCACACAACTATTTAATTTGTTGCTTCCTGCTCCTTCAGGCAGGGAGGGTTTTATTACTGGTTTCCCCTTTGCACACTCTTCCAGTGTCGGATGCCAGCAAACCAACCTTTTCAGGCTGCAACTGAGCAATCCCACAAAAAATTGAGTGTGCAAAGTCTTGGGGGGGCTTTACCGCTAGGGTAGAACCAGCCTCTAGCATCAGCAGCTAGGCTTCTAAACGGCACACTTAACAAGACAGCCTCCTCTGCAATAATCTGGCTTGGCTTTGTTTTGCGGTTCAGCCTGTCCTTCTGCCCAGGTTGTATTCTCTGCTTTTGGCATCCTGGATTCTGAATGTAAAGGGGGGGGCAGCTCCTGCCCCCCTACATCTATTGCACCTGTCTCTCTTTCCTACTAGATTTGTAAATTTATTGTTTTCTTTCGAAGCAGGGTTTGAGAAGTCAAATCGGAAATTTTCCTGGGACAGAGGAGGGCAAAATGGAATAATTTGGGAGGTTGTTTAATACACACTCTGAAGGGATCTGGCGTTTTAGAAGGCTGTGCAAAGCTGGGGAGTTCCTGTGCATCAGGTTTTTGAAGTGCTAATTAAAAGATCTAGATCTCTCCAACAGATTTTGCCAAGGCGGTGAGCTGTCTTCCCGATTCCCCCACAATTGCTGTGTTTTGCTTGGCAATGTAATGTGCGGCTGTACCTTTCGTTTTGAATTAAAATCTTGATACTTCGTAAATGTCCAAACCGATACTGCACAGCGCCTGTAACCCAGAGGCGTGCGTGTGCAAGACATCTGGATGTACAATGAGCCATTTTGCCTTTAAAAAATGTTATATATATATATAATTTTTTTTCCAGCTTGGGTGGGGGAGCCGCTGGAGAGACAATGGCTTGGTGCGTCTCTCTGCTCTCTGACCCAATGCCCACTGCTACAATTATTGCTCTTAAATGTAAAATCCGTTTGCAAAGTTGTGGAAGGTGTGGTGAGTTTAGGCCAAAGGGAGAAGCACACACTGAAGTCGGTGGGGGTTGTTGCATTGTGTACAGAAACACCCCCACCCACCCCTAACGCACTTGGGTAGCTTAAGGTCAAGCACAAGGACTTTCTCAAGATTTTGCATGGTCCAAAGTTCATATGCGTGACAAAGAAACCAGCATGTGCCTAAAGCAACGGAGCCCGATAAACGGTTTTATGTTTGCCGCTGTACTTCCGATGCAGATTTCCATGGGCTTCCAGGGTTGTCTGAATGAAGCCTTTCCAGTTCAGCCAAGCACTACAGACCTTTGCTTTCTTCCCCATTTCTTTATGTTTTCTTTCTATTTTCAGTCGAAAACTGTTGTTCTCCATGGTTTGCTTTCTGTGCAAAGCCCTCGCAGACTCCTGGCCTTTGCTCTCCTCCTTTGCCATTGCACAGACGGTGCATCGACGTTCTTCCAATCTGTTAGAAGTAGCAAAAACCAGCCTTTCCCAGCCTGGCTGCCTTTCAGAAGTTTTGCTCTACAGTTCCCGTCCGCCACTGCAGCCGCGCTGGGAGTTGCCGTCCAAAACACCTGGGAGCGCGTCAGGTTGGCGGAAGTTGTGCTGGAGTTCGTATCTTCACTGTTCTCTGCTGAGAGACTGGAAAGAGCGCTGTAATGCTGGGACAGGATTCGAGGCTGTGTTTTCCTTTGGAGATGGCAATGTTGGAATAAATAAAGGACTGGCATTTATCTACAGTGTGTGTGCATATGTTGCTGTCGCTCTGTCATTGGCAAGTGAGTCGCCGTGCATTTTCCACTCTTCAAGAACATGGGAAGGATGTGTGTGTGTGTGTATACACCGTATTTTTTGCTCTATAAGACTCACTTTTTCCCTCCTAAAAAGTAAGGGGAAATGTGTGTGCGTCTTATGGGGCGAATGCAGGCTGCGCAGCTATCCCAGAAGCCAGAACAGCAAGAGGGATTGCTGCTTTCGCTGCGCAGCGATCCTTCTTGCTGTTCTGGCTTCTGAGATTCAGAATATTTTTTTCTTATTTTCCTCCTCCAAAAACTAGGTGCGTCTTGTGGTCTGGTGCGTCTTATAGAGCGAAAAATACGGTGTGTGTGTATACACACACATACATTTTTATTGATTTTTTTAACATATCAGTTCCAACAGTCATACAGCATATCTTCTCATCTTATACAATGTTTTAGACTTCCGTCAACACCTCTGACGATTTTCCATTCTTTATCACTTATTATGCATTTCTTAATTTTTATTTTACATTTAATTATCCTTAACTAATAATTCTCTTCATAGTCTTTCTTGCAATGTTTCAAATAATCCTCCTTACAGAACTTCTTGCAGTCCTACTAGCGTAATCTGTTCATCACAGTTACTTTCCAAATAGTCCATATATTTACTCCAGTCTTCTAAGAATCTCTGATCCCACAGGTTTCGAATCCTTCCTGTTAATTGTCTAATTCTGCGTAGTCCATCAACTTCATCCTCCATTCTTTTTTTGTCAGTAATTCTTCTTGCTTCCATGAACATGGGGAGGATGTTAACACGTGCCGTGCAGCCAAAGGGGTCTCTCCTCCTTAAGGACCCCACCAAGGGCCTAGAAGCTGCTTTTGGCTCCTGTCCTAAGGTGCATTCAAACATGGGGGAAAGAATGCTTGTTTTCCTTATTATAGAATCAGAGTTGGAGGGGACCCTAGGGGTCATCCAGTCCACCCCCTGCTATGCAGGAATCGCAGCTGAAGAATCCCTGACATTTGACCATCCAACCTCTGCTTAAAAACCTCCAAGGAAGGAGAGTCCACCTCCTGATGGAATTCATCCCTCTGTCAAGTGGGTCGTGCCTTCAGAAAGTTCCTCCTGATGTTTAGCTGGAATCTCCTTCCTTCCCGTTTGAGTCCATTGGTTCGGAAGCAGCAGAAAACAAACTGGCTCCATCTTCCATAGGAGAGGCCTTTAGATATCTGAAGTTGGCTATCCTGTCACTTCTCAATTTTCTTTTCTCCAGGCTAGATATGCCCTCAACCATTCCTCATCAGGCATGGTTTCCAGACCCTCCTAAAATGGTGATGCCCAGAACTGGACACAGGACTCCAGGTGGGGTCTAGCCCAAAGAGAATAGAGCAATGCTATGACTTCCCTTGATTTGGACACTAAGACTTGAAGTCATTTAGGGAAGGTGTCTTACAGCATACCAGATTCAGGTGGTCAGATCCAGGAAAGGCGACCTTTGTGTGCTGTGCAAAACACTTATGGACTCTGCTCCAAAACTGGGCACCCAGGGGTGAATGCAGAGTACACGCAACATAATCTGAGCTGTCAAGGGGAACGCAACCCCAGACAAAATGGGCTGAATTCCCCCCTACCAGTCCCCCTCTGAGAACTCGGGGACATTCAGTGAAGCTGAGTACTTGGAAGATTCAGGACAGAATTGTTTTAAATGACTTCTTCACACAGTGCAGAGCTAAACTGTGGAACTCCCTGCCACAGGAGGCAGGGATGACCACCAACTTGGATGGCTTGAAAAGAGGACTAGACTAATGAGGGAGAGGACTATTGATGGCTACTGGCCAGGATAGTTCTGCTCCACCTGCACAGTCAGAGGAAGCAATGCTTCCAAATGCCAGTTGCTGGAGACCACAGGAGGAGAGAGGGCTCTTGTGTTCGAATCCTGCTTGCAGGTTCCCCTTGAGGCATCTGGTTGGCCACTGTGAGAGCAGGACGCTGGACAAGGTGGGCCATGAGCCTGATCCTGCAGAAATCTTCTGGTTTCTTATGTACCGTATTTTTTGCTCTATAGGACGCACCGAACCATAGGAGGGGGAAAACAGGGGGGAAATTCTCCCCCTCTCTGCTCAGCGCCCCTTCAGCAAAGCGGCACGAGAAGCGGAGCCCCTTCCATTTCTCCTCCCGCTTTGCTGAAGGGGCGCTGCGCAGAGAGGGAAAACTGTGCAGCGCCTCTCCAGCGAAATGAAGCCTGGAGAGCAAGAGGGATCGGTGTGCACCGACCCCTCTCGCTCTCCAGGCTTCAGGCGGCTATCCGCAAGCCTTTGGAGCACGGGGGGAGCTCCTGCTGCACTCCAAAGGCTTGCGGATAGCTGCCTGAAGCCCCCGGAGTGCAGCGGGAGTTCCCTGCGCTCCGGGGGCTTCAGGCGGCTTCAGCGAAAGCAACGCGAAGCCTCCGGACCGCGGGGGGAGCTCTCCCTCTGGGCTTCGGAGGCTTTGCATTGCTATTGCTGAAGCCAAGGAGCCTGCATTCGCTCCATAGGACACACACACATTTCCCCTTCATTTTTGGAGGGGGAAAAGTGCGTCCTGTAGAGCGAAAAATACAGTACTTTGTCTTTCTACTGAATAGGAGTCGCCATCTTCTTTGGCAATCCCTCATAGCTGAGTAAGATGGCCTTCCATAAACACGGTTTTAACATTGAGTCCATAAGTGACTGTGGAGGCCAATTCTGGATCCACACGTCCTTCCACAGTGGGGACATTGGTTCGCGGGCGGGAGTTGATCACGGTGTGGATTTGCCAAGCATACCTTCCTCTTAGCACGTTTCTCCCTTGCGTCCTGAGTTCGAGTGTCTCCAAATCCCATGACACCTTTGGTAAAGGACAGTAATCAGCCATCCTCACAACATGACCAGTCCAACGAAATTGATGTTGAAGAATCATTGCTTCAACACTGGTGATCTTTGCTTCTTTCCATACACTGGCATTAGTACACCTGTCTTCCCAAGTGGTGTGTTCTGGAGGCACTGTTGATGGAGTCTTTCAAGGAGTTGGAGATGATGTTTACAAGTGGTCCATGTTTCACAAGCATACAGTAATAATAATAATAATAATAATAATAATAATCGCTGAAGAATTGATGCTTTTGAATTATGGCGCTGGAGGAGACTCTTGAGAGTCCCATGGACTGCAAGAAGATCAAACATCTCCATTCCGAAGGAAATCAGCCCTGAGTGCTCACTGGAAGGATGGATCCTGAAGCTGAGGCTCCAAGACTGGCCACCTCATGTGAAGAGAAGACTCCTTGGAAAAGACCCCGATGTTGAGAAAGATAGAGGGCACAAGGAGAAGGGGACGACAGAGGACAAGATGGTGGGACAGTGTTCTCGAAGCTACCAGCATGAGTTTGACCAACCTGTGGGAGGCAGTGGAAGACAGGAGTGCCTGGCCTGCTCTGGTCCATGGAGTCACGGAGAGTCGGACACGACTAAACGACTAAACAACAACAACAACAAATAATTTATTATTTATATCCCACCCATCTGGCTGGGCTTCCCCAGCCACTCTGGGCGGCTTCCAAAAAAATATTAAAATACTGTAATACATCAACCACTAAGGTTGGTAGTACAGCTTTGCCCCCCAAAATCTGGCAACCTTGCTTCCAGGAATATGTGCTACCATTCCAACTGGATCTAGGCCCCAATGACACCCTTGAGAGTGCAGGCAGGCCGGCCATTCGGAGCGGGAGAAGCCAAGGAACCTGATGGATCAAGCCCACTGCTCAGCGTGACATTCTCAAAAAGGCAAAGCAAAATAAGTTTATACGAGCTGCCACTAGGAGGCAACCGAGGCATCTTAAATCTCTGATTGTAGTGTCTTTTACTTGCTCACTGCTATCAAGAGTGTTGATGGAAATTGGAAACAAATGCTCTGCGAAGGCTGTAATCCATACAATAAAGAGGGATCGTGAGTTTGGAAACTTGTTTGATGGAGGCCCCTCTTGGACTCCAGATGAGGTTTTGTTCTCAACTACCCCAGCAAAAGGCTGGCAACTCGGTACAGACTTGGTCTTCTTTGGCGATCCCTCGTAGCCGAGTCAGATTGTCTTCCATGAACACGGTTTTAGCAATGAGTCCGTAAGTGACTGTGGAGGCCAATTCTGGATCCACACGTCCTTCCACAGTGGGGACATTGGATTCCGGGTGGGAGTTGATCACCTTTGACTGGGCTTAACTGTCCAGCGGTCCTTTACCTTTTACCTTTACCTACCTGCATGGGTCTAGCATGTCTGTCTTTGTCCCTTGCATTTTCACTTTCCATGCTTTGGCCACAGAGCCTAGGGCTTGCCGATCAGAAGGTTGGAGGTTCGAATCCCCTCGACGGGGTGAGCTCCCGTTGCTCGGTCCCTGCTCCTGCCCACCTAGCAGTTCGTAGCACGTCAAAGTGCAAGTAGATAAATAGCTACCGCTCCAGCGGGAAGGTAAACGGCATTTCCGTGTGCTGCTCTGGTTCGCCAGAAGCGGCTTAGTCATGCTGGCCACATGACTCGGAAACTGTATGCCGGCTCCCTCGGCCAATAAAGTGAGATGAGTGCCGCAACCCCAGAGTCAGCCACGGCTGGACCTAATGGTCAGGGGTCCCTTTGCCTTTAGCTGCATGGTTCTAGCATCTCTCTGTCTGTCTTTGTCCCTTGCATTTTCACTTTCCCTGCTTTGGCCTCTCGGAATTGCTATCCTGGGCTCCTGCACCTTTTTCATTTGCAATAAAATGTACCCTGAACCAGATTTCTCTCCCCACACGGAAGAGGGCCAGCTTCTCCCTAATGATTATGCGCATGCCATAAAACGAAGAGAAAAGTTGGATTAAAAACCAAGCAGGTGTTGACACCACATCTTCAGGACACCTTCCCCTCCTGTGACAGGAAGACTCACAGGATTTGCAGGCTGTAAATCAATAGCAGTTTGTCCTCACCCGCTTGTAATAGTGCAGATTTATTCCTGGTGATTCATCGCTTCATTATGGAATTTACTACAGGGGACAAATTATTCCATTCTCGGGATGAAGAGGCTGCAGACATGTCCCTGGTCTGTCTGTCTGTCTGTCTGTCTGTCTCTCCCTCTGTCTCTCTCTCCCCCTCCCTCCCTCTCTCTCTTTCTCACTCTCTCTCACACACACGGGGAGGGGGGTGGCTGCCTGAAGACCTCTATTTTTGTTGTTGTTGTTGTTTAGTCGTTTAGTCGTGTCCGCCTCTTCGTGACCCCCTGGACCAGAGCACGCCAGGCCCTCCTGTCTTCCACTGCCTCCCGCAGTTTGGTCAAACTCATGTTAGTAGCTACAAGAGCACCGTCCAACCATCTCGTCCTCTGTGAACAAAGCGAACAGGTAAACTGTTTAAAATATCCAGATTCCACACCTCAATTCCCCATCTGCAAAATGAGATGCCTGCCCCCAGACAGAAGGTTAAAACGAAAACACTTGTTTCAAAGCTCTCCATGTCTACAGTATAATCCAACCCACATATTGCTAATTTAATGCTATCAAGGCATGTCTCTTCCTGTTCCACCAAAGCTCATCACTTGCCCCACCTCCAGAAAAAGAGAGAAAATAATCTCCTGCAACTCTTTGGACACGAAAGTCAAAGCCGTGCAAACCACCTCCTGGACTGCCACTGCAATATCCCGTATAATGGCCTGTTTTCTCCCTCTCTTCCTCATCGGAATTGGAATATAAGGAAGGAGGTATATCAAGCTTCTGTTCTGTAAGGAGCTGAAGAATGGTGCATCTATTTATCAGATTGCTTAAAAAAATAGCAAGTCAGATTTCGGAGGCTCTGGGGCAGGAAAGGAAAGCATTGCAAGAGTATATTAAACAGCGCATCAAATAGATAACAGCTATCAGGTATTGAAACCCATCTCTCTCTCTCTCTCTCTCTCTCTCTCTCTCTCTCTCTCTCTCCATGAGAGCCCCTCTCCATGAGCTTGGGAGTGCATAGGTGGAGCTGGGAAGCTCCTATAAGCAGGGAGAAAGTCAGCTTGAATTCATCTAAAGGCAAACCGGCCTAATTCACACTTTCTAAAACCATATGCAATGCAAAGCAGAGCCGTCCTTTGAAATCCCCTTGTCCCAGATGTTGCGATGCAGTTCTCCAGCCAACAACAATGGCCTAAAAACATTCAAACTCCCAGTAGCTTTCTAAACCTCTTGGTTGTTGTTGTTTAGTCGTGTCCGCCTCTTTGTGACCCCCTGGACCAGAGCACGCCAGGCACTCCTGTCTTCCACTGCCTCACGCATTTTGGGCAAACTCATGCTGGTATCTTCGAGAACACTATCCAACCATCTCGTCCTCTGTCATCCCCTTCTCCTTGTGCCCTCCATCTTTCCCAGCATCAGGGTCTTTTCCAAGGAGTCTTCTCTTCTCATGAGGTGGCCAAAATCTCAGAGCCTCCGCTTCAGGATCTGTCCTTCCAGTGAGCACTCAGGGCTGATTTCCTTAAGAATGGATCGGTTGGATCTTCTTGCAGTCCATGGGACTCTCAAGAGTCTCCTCCAGCACCAGAATTCAAAAGCATCAATTCTTCAGCGATCAGCCTTCTTTATGGTCCAGCTCTCACTTCCATACATCACTACTGGGAAAACCATAGATTTACCTAGGCTTGTCTAAACAGGGATGTTTACAGCAGGTGCCCACAGGAGTGCAGTCAAGGCTCCTGCTTGATATCAATAGGCAGGGAGTTCCAGGGTGTAGGTGCTGCCGCACTAAAATATTGAGTTCCTACAAATGTGGAGCGGGTCTTATGTGCCTCCTGTAACAGGGCCATTTCTGTTGACTGAAGCAGTCAAGTGGGCACATTTCAGTAAGGCGAGGAGTCCGGCTGGTGAAGAATCACGGGTGTCTCCCCCTCCTGCTGCGACAAGCTCCTCTCCCAGAACCAGAAGAGGCATGAAATGGGAGGAGCAAAGGCAGGCTGCCTGCAGGCAAAGTCTCCGATTGCTTGGGGGAAAGCCCTGGAGAAGAGGGGACTTAGACAGCTGTGGGGAGGCAGGGACTTTTAGTCATGGCAACTGATCCATGGGGATAAGCTGCTGAGCTCATTAAGCCTGACCCTCTGTCAAGTCTGTGTTTTCGCCACTGCTTTTTTCTGGGGGGATGCATACCCTTAAACATTTTGTGAATCTAAGTGTGGCTGCATTGAGGGGCAGTGTTTCAATATGAGTAGGGAAATGAGAGTAACATTATTTTTTAGGGGGAAAACACTGGTTTTCGCTAATAAAAAGTGAACTCCAACTTGAGTGGTGTGAAGAAATCATATATATATAAATTCAAAGTCCAAATATCGAGATTACTCTGATCTGAATTTCCTGACTTCCCTCCATCGCTTCCATGGGTCCTACTGATAATATTTACATCTGCATATCAATACTTATCCAATTTTTTATCTTTCTAAATTATCCATACTTTCCGTGTGGTTAAAATCCTGCCAATGTTTGAACTAGCTTGCAGTGGTCTCGTAAGTAAATCATATACTTTCCCCGTCCCACTCTTTTGAAAAGTCCTTGATTTCTGAGCTTCCCAGTTAATTTTGCCGTTTTGCCACAGCCCAGCAACTTGGTTTTCCATTCTTCTCTGGTGGGGTTGTCTCTTCCTTCCATCTCTGGGCTAGGAGCATCCGTGTGGCTGTTGCCGCGTACATAAACAGTCTTTTCTGGTCCTTTGGTGGTGTGAACATATCCTCCCAGGGAGTGCGGCTCAGTATTTCTGCTCCCCCCCTTTTTTTGATAACAATTTATTAATTTTCCAAAAATGACAAAAAAAAAGAAAAATCAATACAATAACAATACAAAAACAAAGTAAAACAAAACAAATATAGAAATTCAAATCATAAATCTTGACTCAGATGACTTCCCTCTGCTCCCCCTCTTGGTTCCATTGTATTAACTTATTCATGCGCATCCATAAGGCCTTATACTCTTAACAATCCAATTTTCAAACCTTATTCATCTTAATACAAGGGACTTTAAAAAGTTCTACTAATACAAAAGTCTGTACACAACCCTTGAAAAATATGCTTTAAACATTTCCCTTAAAAAAAAAAAAAAGAATATCCTCTTTCTTTCTTGGGTTTCAAATTATCTAATATGTCCTGCATAGTTCATTAATTAATTTTTGCCAGTCTTCTTTGGCAGTGGCTTCTTCCTTCTATAGGGATGGGCTGATCTGTCAGCACTCAGATGCAGGAACAAAATCTTTCACTTTATAACCCCATCAAGTTTTGTGCATCTCAATACCATGACTTCAGGGTTTTTTTTATCAACAGTCATTTTCCACATTCTCTTCAAGTCTTTATATGTCTTTTCCCAGGCCTTTTTAATGGTTTTACATTGCCACCAGATTCTTCTTCTTTGGCAATCCCTCATAGCCGAGTAAGATGGTCTTCCATAGACACAGTTTTAACAGTGAATCCGTAAGTAACTGTGGAGGCCAATTCTGGAGCCACACGTCTTTCCACAGTGGGGACATAGGTTTCCAGGCAGGAGTTGGTCACGCCAAGCGTGCCTTCCTCTTAGCACATTTCTCCCTTGTGTCCTGAGTTCAAGTGTCTTCAAAGCCCATGACACCTTTGGTCAAGGCTGTTCTCCAACTGGAGCGCTTGCAGGCCAGTGTTTCCCAATTGTTGGTGTTTATACTACATTTTTTTTATATTTGCCTTGAGACAGTCTTTAAACCTCTTTTGTTGACCACCAGCATTACGCTTTCCATTTTTAAGTTCGGAAAAGAGTGGTTGCTTTGGAAGACGATCATCAGGCATCCGCACAACATGACCAGTCCTGCAAAGTTGATGTTGAAGAATCATTGCTTCAGCACCGGTGATCTTTGCTTCTTCCAGGACACTGGTATTAGTTCGCCTGTCTTCCCAAGTGATGTGTAAAAATTTTTGGAGACCCTGTTGATAGAATCTTTCGAGGAGTTGGAGGTGGCGTTTATAAATGGTCCATGTTTCACAAGCATATAGTAAGGTTGGTAGTACAATAGCTTTGTAAACAAGCATTTTGGTTTCCCTGCGAATGTCCTGGTCCTCAAACACTCTGCACTTTAATCAGGAGAAAGCTGCACTCGCAGAGCTCAGGCGATGCTGGATTTCAGCATCAATGTTGGCCCTTGTGGAAAGATAACTGCCTAGGTAGGAAAAGTGATCGACATTTTCCAACGTTACACCATTGAGTTGGATTTGTGGTGCTGCAGAGGGGTTATTTTGTACTTGTTGGTGCAGCACTTTGGTTTTTTGGAAGTTGAGTGATAGGCCAAGCTTTTCGTAAGCTTCTCTTAAGATATTTAGGATGGTTTGGAGGTCATCCGCCGAGCATGCACACACTACGTTGTCATCAGCATACTGAAGCTGTATGATGGAAGTTACGGTAACCTTACTCTTTGCTTTCAGCCTGCTCAGATTGAAGAGCTTTCCATCTGTTCCATATATGATTTCTACTCTGGTGGGGAGTTTCCCTTCGACAAAGCGTAGGATCATGGCAATGAAAATAATGAACAGAGTTGGGGCAATGACAATAATAGAGTTGGGTCACCAGATATGGTAACCTCTTGTACTTTTTGCTCTCCCTTCCTGTTTTTCTCTGTCGTAGTCAAAGCCTCCCAAATCATTTCACATGGGGTACAATTTTTATCTGCCCAACGGCTCTGCTATTTCAACCCCAGCCCTCCCAGAACTTCCCAGTGCTGAAACAGCGGACCTCAGCCTCCTCCTGGAACAAACGTGGTCCGTTCAATTAGCCGGGAAATGGCTTCCATGCCTGGCTGTCAAATATCTGTGGTGGAAGCAGAGGAGAGACTTAGGCAGGGGCTTAACCATGCAGCCTGCACAAGGCCTCTATTTACAATGACAAAGTAAGGGACTCTGCGGCACGGCTATTTGTCAAGTGGCTCATTTGACAGCTCCTTCCACTTCAGGAGTGGCACCGTGAAAAATCTCCTTATTAGCAGAGACAGCGGCAATGCTCTGCTCTCGCCCGCGCTGCCTCTCTCTCACAGTAACGGATCAGAAGTCATTGGACAGGACTTGTGTGCGTGCACCCCTCCTGTCCGTTCCTCCACACAACTCCAATCCGTTAGGAGTCCAGCTTGTCCTCCAGCGACTCAGACCGAAAACAATGTCAGTCCAAGGGCAGCTAAAGGTCGCGCATCCAGCTTCAGCTGCAATGGTGGATGAGGCCCAGGACATTTCCCAGACCTCGGACAGAGCTGCATTGCACAGACGGAAGGAGATGCTCCCAGATCTCTTGCAAAGTTACAGGTGATGCTGTTGTGTGTTCACAACACATGTTTATTTAATGTATTTTTAATCTTTTGTTGGAAGCCGCCCAGAGTGACTGGGGAAACCCAGCCAGATGGGCAGGGGAGAAACAATAAGTTCCTCCTCCTCCTCCTCCTCCTCCTCCTCCTCCTCCTCCTCCTCTTCTTCTTCCTCTTCACAGCAGTGGCCTGTCTCTCGTGGATGTAAATGTAATGGCAAAAAAGAAAAGAAAATATGTCGCCTCAAGGTAAGCTTATATGATCACCTCAAGGCAGCTTACAGAGAAATAATAACAATTAAAATATTGGTGGGCAGGAAACAATAATTAAAACAACAACTCAACAATAGAATTAAAACGCTCTCCAGATCTATATTAAAAACACAGACAATTACTGTATATGGTGGACTTCTTGCAAGCAACACAGATCTTGAAGCAGCTACTAGAATTTTCAGGCAAGCTTTCCTAAGTGCTTTTAGAACAGGCATAGGCAAACTCCAGCCCTCCAGATGTTTTGAGACTACAATTCCCATCATCCCTGGCTACTGGTCCTGTTAGCTAGGGATGATGGGAACTGTAGTTTCAAAACATCTGGAGGGCCGGAGTTTGCCTATGCCTGTTCTAGAAGAACAATATTCGTTCTGCATGAATCCGTGTGTGTGTTGTTGTTTTTTTAAACGAAATGTTGAACCGCCAAACAGCTTACTCTCAGAAAGTTCTTCCTGTTGGTTAGTCTGAATCTCCTTTCTTGTTTGGGTCCTCCCCTCCAGGGCAGGAGATAACAAGCTTTCTCCATCTTCCATGGAGCAGCCCTCATGGAGATCAGAAGATGACTTTCATAGCTCCTCTCAGTTTCCTTTGATCCAGGCTGGACATCCCCAACTGTTCCTCATTGTCTTGGTTTCCAGGCCCTTGATCATCTTGGTCGCCCTCCTCTGCCCACCTTCCAGCTTGTCAACATCCTTCTTAAATTGTGGCACCCAGAACAGGGCATAGGACTCCAGGTGGGGGTCTGACCAAGGCAGAATAGAGCGGGACTATGACTTCCCTTGATCTGGACACAAGACTTCTGTGGATGCAGCCTAGAATCGCATTAGCTTTTTTTACTTCTGCATCACAGTGAAACGTGTCCTGCTGAAACACTTATGGTACCCAGTCCTGCACGTTCCTCAGGAAGCCCCTTAAGTACCTTTTATACTGTGAAGAGGACTAACAAGGAGATATATGACCCCTTGATGTTGTGGGATATGATACAGAGATAGCAGTCAAGTACAACATTCCTTGTTTTCCTAGAGTGGCCTTGCAAGGGGATGTTTGCTCCAGCCAGTCGGAACTTCCTGTTTCCTCCTGGGCTGGGACATCCTTCCTCTTGCATATGACTAGAGGTGGGCGTGATCTTACCTGTGCAGGTAACAAAACCACAAGGCACGCAGCCCTCCTCCTCTCTTTCCTCTCTTCGACTTCCTCCTTCATTGGAGCAACAGCTCTTTTTAGCTAGAGATGCCAAAAGAGGACAAAGAGACTATCTCCATATGGGGTAGTTCCACATGAATATACTTTGCAACTAAGTCTGCCTTCAGGGATCCATCTGTGAACTGAATGTGTGAGTAAACTTCTTTTATATACTTTACACAAGATTGTGGTTTGTCCATTCTTTTAAGAGGGATATAAGGGATCTTACCAGGAATCTAATATTGAGAGGTTTAAACAAAGCCTTCAACAAGCGAACCGCTGTGCGTTTAAAAGGGGAATGTAAAACTCTGCTAAGTTATAGAACTTGAACTCTGAACAAAAGGCTAAATTAATTGTAAATAATGTGGTGACGGAAGAATTTAAGATAGAAAAAGGGACACGACAGGGGTGCCCAATCTCCCCACTGCTTTTTATAGCGGTCCTGGAGGTTCTGCTGAATATGATTGAAGGGACCAGTTGGTCACAGGTATACAAGAAGGAGCCAAACTGTACAAACTGAGAGCGTGTCCAGAGGAGAGCAACCAAAATGGTCAAAGGCCTGGAAACGATGCCTTATGAGGAACGGCTAAGAGAGCTGGGCATGTTTAGCCTGGAGAAGAGGAGGTTAAGGGGTGATATGATAGCCATGTTCAAATATATAAAAGGATGTCACATAGAGGAGGGAGAAAGGTTGTTTTCTGCTGCTCCAGAGAAGCGGACACGGAGCAATGGATCCAAACTACAAGAAAGAAGATTCCACCTAAACATTAGGAAGAACTTCCTGACAGTAAGAGCTGTTTGACAGTGGAATTTGCTGCCAAGGAGTGTGGTGGAGTCTCCTTCTTTGGAGGTCTTTAAGCAGAGGCTTGACAACCATATGTCAGGAGTGCTCTGATGGTGTTTCCTGCTTGGCAAGGGTGTTGGACCTCGATGGCCCTGTGTGGTCTCTTCCAACTCTATGGATTCTATGATTCTATGATCTTGTATTTGTGCCTCTCAGTTTTTTGCCCAAGTGCAATACTGTTACATTTCTCCCTGTTAAAATTCATCTTGTTTGTTTTGGCCCAGTTCTCTAATCTGTCAAGGTCGTTTTGAAGTGTGATCCTGTCCTCTGGGGTGTTAGCCACCCCTCCCAATTTGGTGTCATCTGCAAATTTGATCAGGATGCCCTTGAGACCATCATCCAAGTCGTTGATAAAGATGTTGAATAAGACCGGGCCCAAGACAGAACCCTGTGGCACCCCACTAGTCACCCCTCTCCAGGATGAAGAGGAACCATTGATGAGCACCCTTTGGGTTCCGTCAGTCAGCCAGTTACAAATCCACTGAGTGGTAGCATAGTCAAGACCGCATTTTACCAGCTTCTTTACAAGAATATCATGGGGCACCTTGTCAAATGCCTCGCTGAAATCAAGGTAGGCTACATCCACTGCGTTCCCTTCATCTACCAGGCTTGTAATTCAACAAGCGAACCGCTGTGTGTTTAAAAGGGGAATGTAAAACTCTGCTAAGTTATAGAACTTGCTAGTGAAAGTTAGGAAGGATATTATTAAACAATATATCCTCTCCTGCCACCCTGAACATTCCCACAGATGCAAGGAAAGGGTGAGCACCTCAGGCCTCTCTTCACAAGTGCTGACTGCAATAAGGGCATTTTTAAACAGGTCTTGCCCGCAGCCCACAAAACATGGTCCCCGCCTTCCCCTTAAACCATCCCAGATGGATTTTAACCCAGTGCATGGTTGAAGTAGTGGCAGGGGGTATTTATGCCATAAGCTTGGCACCTGTTTGTCTCATATGACAATGGAGAAATGTGTGCCTTTTGTGGGTGAAGGCAAACCGTTGGAAGGTTGCACCTTTTAATCACATCCCAGCTGATCGCAAACAGGCATGTAATTAAAACGGGGCAGCAGTAAATCTCAGCTAGGTGGTTCTGGGCTCTTAGCAGAGTGAGGAGGGTTGCTCCTTACCTATTGGCACAAATTTCATTTCTCATTAAGTGCGGTCGCAGGAAGCCTCCACGCTAAGTGAAGGGTTCCTAACTCCAACCTTCTGATATATGGGCCTGATTATTTTCTGAGCGCTTCTCCCCTTGATTATTATTATTATTAATGAGTTATATAAGCTCCTCGAGCAAATAATTCAAGGGAGCCAGGAGGCAGGCAGGCCTGTTTCTGACATCGGGTGGAACGAACGCTTGAAAATTGCCACCCAAAATCAAGCCAAACTAGGATGGATGAGAAGAGCACACAAAAATCCCAATGATTATTGTATAGTGCTTCCTGAAACTGGTGCCCTCAGACTGCAGCTCCCATGGAATTATGTGGAAAACACTGGGAAGGCAAAGAGTCAGGGAAGTATGCTTTTTTTTGGGGGGGGGGAATATAGCTTTGCAAATAAAAAAATGAAACATTTAAACTGCGCTTTCAGCTTCTGTTGGCCCTTTGCAGCTCAAATTCACTCTCTGCAGCTGCTCAGAAAACGCAGCAGGAGGAGGATCCTTTCTGAGCAAATATTAGAGACCAGAATGTCTGAAATAATAATTTAGCTGTAAGAGAGAGGTGGGGGGGGGCGAGAAAGGGAGCTCTCTGGCATTTAAAGCCTGGTGTTAATTCAGAATTGCCTGTGTGGGAGAAAGCTCCTCTTTGCAAATGCAAGAGGTCCCTCCAAAAATGCTCAGCCAAAACAATTAAGAGGCTGTTAGCGTTTTATTTGGGACACTAAATAATTAAAGTCTATTCATTGTCACGGTTTTGAAAAATGACAGCTGCAGCCCAGGCAGATGGGGCTGGTGGGACTCTGAACAGAAGCCAATGGGCAGCGCAAACACATTCATGGTTTGAAAGACGCCAAACCTTGGAGGACAGAGTTGAGTGGACCAACCGGGAAAAGGAATATTCAGGCTTCTGTGCCACACAGAGCTCTTTGTCTGATAGCAAAGGGGGGTCTCTTCTGTAGGCCCTCGCTCCGCTGACGGGAGTGTGCTCTTGTGTATATTAGGAAAAAATGATACTACATCACTAGTGAATTTTTGTGAGGTTGTTTTTGGTTTTGCTTAATGCAAAGTGCTGCAGAAATACAGAGAACTGAATTTAGGTTGGGGGGGGGGGGAATCAGAAACAGTGACAAAACCGAAACTGAGAAATTAATTGACCCCTATTTTGGATGATCACTCCTCCCATCCCTGCTTTGCTTTCTGAAAATTTTCCACTCAGAAGCCTTTTCTACATGATGGGAAATTTAAAGCCTTGAGCATCTGAATGCAAGGTTTGCAGGCTAGCCAGCCGCCCTCCAGAGGCTTGATCTAGGCTGTGGGACGGAGGAGAGAACAGCCCATCTCTGCCAGGGGTTCATCTCCGCTGAGATGCGATGCCAACCCTTTTTGAGAAACAGCCTCTCTGGCAGCTCAATCAGCCGCTGAAATGAATTGGAATGATGCAATTGCAAATCCCTTTGAGCAATTGCTTTCTGAAAGACTGGAGGGGTCAAAAAGGCTGGTGCGGAAACGTGTCTCTCGTCTGTAGCGCCCAGTTCCTGGCAGGCACCGCCTGGCACCACCAGGAGCTTGGTTCAGAGCTGAGTTTGGCATCAGGCCGTGCAGACGCCAAAGCCCTCCAGAGGTGGGTGGAATTGGCAGCAGAGAGAAAAACCCTCTTGGGACACGAACGGTGCCTTTATAAGAACCTAAGAAGAGGCTGCAGGATGAGGCCAATGGCCCACCTAGTCCTGTAATCCTGTTCTCACAGGAGTCAACCAGATGCCCAAAAGGGAAACCAACCAAAGCAGGATTCGAACACAAGAGCAACCCTCTCGCCTCCTGTGGTTTCCAGCAACTGCTGCTCAGAAGCATCACTGCCTCCAACTGCAGAGGCAGAGCCGTCCTGGCTAGTGAAATAAAAAAATTAAGGTCTTATATATATAATAAATGTTCATAAATGTACCAAGCAAACACGTACATAAATATATAAGCCACATGTCTGAAGCAGCACAGGAGGACCGCCCTGAAACCATTTTCACTCCCAAACTGAGCAAATGTTTTCTCTGCAAGGTTGAAGGAAAATGGAAAAGGCTCCCCTTTGTCTTTTCCTTCACAAATCCTGTCTTGAGGGTATGTCTGTGTATGAATAGGGTGAGCCTGTGACCTGGCTCAGGAACTAAGTATTTGTCGTTACAAAAGACTGGCCAGGCTCCCCAGGGTATCCAATCAAGCGACCATTAACAGGTAACCTGCCAGACAGGAGGTAAACAATGCACTCAGATTTCTGTTGTAGACCGCCCTTTCTGTGATGTAGGTATGATGTGTCTGGGGGTAGTCTTGGACTCCAGGGCGGGCAATTTAAAATGTCTATATGAGGGCAGGCACACCTGGGTTCTGGGTCCTCCTCCTTTCCTGCGTGTGAAGGGGGCACCCTGTTGCAACAGATCAATAAAGATCAGGCTTACTAGCTGCTTTGCTTTTCAATATTCTCTGCTTGGCCTCTGTTATTTTCTCCGTCTGATGGAGAACCTGCAAAGGACTCTATAAGGGCTCTTGTGTCCCCATAAGGGAATAAGGGCAGATTTACGTTTATTACACCACCAACTTAGATGCCTTTAAAAGAGGACTGGGCAAATTAATGGAGGTCAGCAAAGGCTACTAGTCTCAATGGCTAGGCTCTGCCTTCAGGGTCAGAGGCAGCTGAATACCAGTTTCTGGGAAAACCCAAGAATGGAGAGTTGCTCTTCTGACTGAATCTACTTGCTAGTTTCCCATTGAGGCATCTGTTGGCCACTGAGAAAACAGGATGCTGGACTCAAGGGGCCCCATTTGGCCTGTTCCAGGAGGCTCGCCTTACAGTCTTAGACGCCAAAAGGAATGCATTCATCTTCAACTGACCACACAAAAAGTTGGGGGTCAGGCTGCAAAACCCTGCTTTCAGCCGAGCCTGAAACTCTTCTGCCACCAGTAGTCCAGTAGCCACATGCCTGATCCAGCAGGAGCTTTTCGTGTTCTCATGCTCTTAAAGTCCTCCTTCACACAGCGCGTAATGAAACTGTGGAACTCGCTGCCACAGGAGGCAAGCATGGCCTCCAAACTGGACTGGACAAATTCATGGAGAAGGAGAGGGCTAACAGTGGCTGTGATGCTTCTGAATCCCAGTGCTGGAAGAGGGATCTTGTGCTTGGATCCTGCTTATGGGTTTCCCACGGGGGCATCTGGTTAGCCCCAGAGAGAACAGGATGCTGGCCTGGGTGGGCAATCATTGGCCAGGTTCTCCTTAACGTTCTTCAGCTTAATGGCTTGGGCGTGATGGATTGGTCCTGGGAGGTCGTGTGCTGGCGATTTTACGGATGTTCTTGAAGGACACTAAACTTTATGAATGATTGCCATTGAGACATAACCAGCAGGCTACACACAGCCTCTCCTGGGGCTTTGCAAAGCCATGGCAACCCAAGAGGAGGAAGAGGAGAGATGGAGAAGGAGGCAGCTTGCCCTTCAAACTGAACTGAAGCTTTTGAAGGTGCAGGAACCCTGCTGCTCTACACAAACACAGACACACAACCTGCCCTGGGCTGCCCTGTTTATGCCAGCTCACTCCTTTCCTCTGAAACCTGGCCAGCTTGATTGATAACCTCCTCCTAAGTCCCTGTCACTTAAAGAGGCTGGCGGGGAAGGGATCAATACCTGGCAGTCATAATAACCAAAACGGCTCTAATTTGCAAGAAAAAACGAGCTGGGCCTGTCTCCCCTTTGCCCTCTCGTGAAAGGGCTCCAGTTTTTCGGGCTGTTAATTTCTGTAGAAACTGTTACCCTTGCCCATTAGTTGAACTGTGGGCCAGGAGGATTTAAGGCTTTGGGGGAGACAGGGCTGGCTGCTGCCCTATGATATAATTATATGCACATTTGCAGCTTGGGAAAATCAGGAGCACAAAGTGTGGATTCCAGTTACAAGGAGGGAGAGTCCAATTAAACATGATAAATATTTTTTTTTAATTGTAAGAGCTGTTTGACCATGGACTGGACTCCCTCAGAAGGTGGTGGACTCTCCTCCTTTGGAGGTTTTGAAGCAGATGTTGGATGGCCATCTGTCCTGGATGCTTGAGCTGAGATTCCTGCATTGCAGGAGGTTGGACTAGATTGACCCCTGGTCAATAATTCTATTATTCTATGTAGGCAGGTGTCAGCCTCTCTGCTGGCTCTGGGTGGCAATATGGGCACCATGCAAGCCAGAGTCGGGAACCACAGGCCCAATGTCCCTCTCCTTGCCTCTGTCCTCTCTGTCCAGTTCTGCGGACACCCCAGACCTCTCCCTGACCCTGTTTGGCAGACTCAAGTGCTTTTGTGCCCTTTTGCTGGCCTGGATGGAAAGATGGTGCCTGTGCGAGGAAACCCCTGGCTGCCATGCTGCTGGTGTGTCACCTCCTGTGAGTCATTTGCCTCTGGCCACACCGAAGAGCATAGGAGAAGACCTGCAGCTGGATCAGACCCAAGGCCCACCTGATTCCGCATCCCTGAAGGCCTGTGCAGCATCTTCCTGGCATGAAGAAGGTCCCACCATCCCCTTCCAAGCACCTTGACCTTCAGCCACATCCCAAATTCATCTAGTCCAACCCTCTGCAAATGGAGGATTCTTTTGCCCAACATGGGACTCAAACTCATCACCCTGAGATCAAGAGTCTCAGACGATTTATGGAGGAGGAGACGGCTTTCGATAGTTACTAGTGTAATAAACAAAAATCTGCCCTTATTTCCTTATGGGGAACACAAGATCCCCTACAGAGTCCTTTGTAGGGTATCCAATCAAGTGACCATTAACAGGTAACCTGCCAGACAGGAGGTAAACAATGCACTCAGATTTCTGTTGTAGACCGCCCTTTCTGTGATGTAGGTATGATGTTTCTGGGGGTGCTCTTGGACTCCAGGGCGGGCAATTTAAATTGTCTATATAAGGGTGGGCACACCTGGGTTCTGGGTCCTCCTCCTTTCCTGCGTGTGAGGGGAGCAGGCAGGCTTATAAGCTGCCTGGGGGGCTTTTTCTGAACAAACAAATCTTAACCCCCAGTATATTGACTAAGAGGACTCTTAGCAGGGTTCATTACTGCTATTTCTGCAATTCGGAAAGCACCTGTAGAAGGACTAGGAACTCCTTGGCCTCCGAGTGGCACACTCTGAACATTCAGTTTCGGAACCAGTTCTGGGGAGGATTAATTGGGGCAGACGGGGGTGGGGTGGGGGTGCTGTTTAGAAAGCAATTAATCCTAGAATTACCAGCCGTACTTAATGCTGGCTCCAGAGATGTTGAGAGAGCAAAGTTCAAAGCTTTACCAAAGTTTGCACACCACGAAATTGCTGATCTTAAACCGCAGGTTCTTCTCTTCCCGCCTCGGCTTCCAGCTCCTTATCTAAGCCACTTTCCTTCAGATCGTAGCCAGCCTTTCAAATTTTGGATATTTTAAGGCAGTCCACTTTGAGCATGGGATGGCTTATCCCGGCAGGTCCTCCTGACCCCTCGCGCTCCACTCACCCCTAATATGTGTGGGTTGAAGGAGCGGGGGGGGGGGGCAGTGCCCTAATTCTTCCTCCTTCCTCTTTAATAGAGGTGTTTTAAATGGCATGAAGATAAGCTCAGCCTCTAGATGGAGCGAGAAACTTTAAAAGCAAAGAGTCTGTGAGTCTGCCTTATCTTATCTCCTCCTGTTCCACAATGTCTAGTGAGCCCAGATGAACCAAAACTACGGATTTCTCTTCCCTGCTTTGTCTCTACCTGTCAGGATGCATTCACTGTGGCGGGAGAGAATTAACCCTCCGGTTCCACTGCTGTGCAAAGTTGCGCATGAAGCTCTCCACACACGTCTTCATTAAGCTGAAAGCAGGGGCGTCTTACCCATAGAGGCTAGTGGTGCAGGGTGCCAGGGCGCCAGGTTTTGGAGGGTGCCAGGGGAGAGGCGGAGGCTGGATGCAGCGCCTCCTGGCATCAGCTCGCCGCCCTCGCCCACCTCCGCCATGCCATGCCCGGAGCCTCTGCTGCCGTGGCCACCGTGGCACGAAGCGGCCAGCAGAGCAAGGAGCCGCAGCGTCCAGCCTCTGCCTCTTCCCCGCCAGAGGAGTTGCCCTCCAGCCGCTGCCCACCTCCTCCAGCCCCGCAAAGCTGGGCACATCACTGGCAGCACTGTTGTGCTGGTCCCATGGGTTAACCGTGAGGCGAGGTCCGAGTCCAGTCCGAGGTTGAGGGTGCAGGATGGAGGCAGGCAGTCAAAGCTGAAGCTGGGTCCAAGGCGGGTGAGGTCAGGAGCTCAGGCAGGACAGGGTGCAGGCAGGAACTGGCTACCAACAACGTTGCTCCTGCAACCTGGGACTGGGGCTGGCCGGCTTTTATCTGCCCCGAGGCATAGGGCGGCCCCAATCCTCTGGTGCCTTGCCTCTCCTGGCCTGGAGGCGAGCACTCCTCCTGCGGGAACTTAGTTCCCTCCGCCTCTCTGCCTTGAGCCTCTGCAGCTCAGGAGAGGCTGGAGGGTCACCGGACCCAGAGGCAACCTCAGCTTCCCCTGGCGGGGCTGAGAGTGGCGCACCTGCAGGCAATGGGTCCTCGATCACCTCAGGAGCCAGAGCAGACTCAGCTGATGCCTGCACCTGAGGACCCAGCACAGGTGAGGACCCTTCAGGCTCAAGCCCCAGCCCCGGCTCAGCTGGTTCTGGAGGCAAGGAATCCTGTGCAGGCTGGGATTCCTCAGGTTCAGTCTCCGAGTCCGAATCCCAGGCCATCACAGCTGTCTTTCTTACAAAAAGGTCAGCAACTCTGGGAAAGAGGGAGGGCCGCCGGATGGATCTTTGCACCACGGCGCCGGATATGCTTAAGACGGCCCTGGCTGAAAGTCTCTCTTAGTCTATATTGTTATAAGGAAAAAACTGCTCCTTTCCCCTTATGGGGTATCCAAGAGCCCGTATAGAGTCCTTAAGTGGGTTCCCTGTAGGTAGGAGAAAATAACAAAGGCCAAGCAGATAATATTGAGAAGCAAAGCAGCTAGTAAGCTTGATCTTTATTAATGCTGTTGCAACAGGGTCCCCCACTCACCACACGCAGGAGGGGTGTTGTAAACAAAAATTGACCTTTTTCCCTTATGGGGTATCCAAGAGCCCATATAGAGTCCTTATGTAGGTTCTCTGTCGGTAGGAGAGAATAACGGAGGCCAACCACAGAATATTGAGAAGCAAAGCAGTGATATTTTGGCGAAGAGATTTAAGAAAGTGCTGTTGGAAGAGATTCATAAAGATCAAGCGGGCTTTCTCCCAGGAAGACATTTGTCTGATAATTTGAGGAATATAATCGATATCCTGGAAAAACTAGAAGTGAATATTAACACTAAAGCAGTGTTGATATTTGTAGACGCGGAGAAAGCCTTTGACAATATTTCTTGGAATTTTATGAAGAAGAATCTTCAGGGTATGGGGGTAGGCCAAGGTTTTGAGAATGGTATAAATGCAATTTATTCAGAACAAAAGGCTAAACTAATTGTAAATAATGTTGTCACGGAAGAACTTAAAATTGAAAAAGGGACACGACAAGGTTGCCCAATTTCCCCACTTCTTTTTATTTCGGTCCTGGAGGTTCTGCTGAATATGATTAGAAGGGACCAGATGGTTAAAGGTATACAGGTCGGAATTAAACATTATAAATTGAGAGCATTTGCAGATGACTTACTATTGACGTTACAGGAGCCAGAATCTAGTACAAAAGGGTTTTAGAACTGATTCAAGAATTTGGTCAAGTGGCAGGATTTAAATTGAACAAGTCAAAAACCAAGGTTTTAGAGAAAAATTTAACACCGTTTGAAAGAGAGAGGTTCAGAATGAGACAGGTTTAACAGTGGTTAAGAAAGTTAAATACCTGGGGATTAACATGACAGCAAAAATGGGAATTTATTTAAAGATAATTATGAAAAATGTTGGTCAGAAGTGAAAAAAGATTTAGAAATTTGGTCAAATTTGAAGCTTTCACTGCTAGGCCGTATTGCTGCGATAAAGATGAATGTATTGCCTAGAATGTTGTTCTTGTTTCAAACTTTGCAGATTGTGGACAAAATGGATTGTTTTAAGAGGTGGCAGAAAGATATCTCTAAATTTGTCTGGCAGGGCAAGAAGCCTAGAATAAAATTTAAAATACTAACAGATGCAAAGGAAAGAGGTGGATTTGCACTGCCAGACCTTAAACTTTATTATGAATCAGCAGCTTTTGCTGGTTGAAAGAATGGCTACTTCTTGAAAACACTGACATTTTGGACTTGGAAGGTTTCAATAATGTATTTGGATGGCATGCATATCTATGGTATGATAAGGTCAAAGCACATAAAGCATTTAAAAACCACATTGTCAGGAAAGCGCTATTCAATGTTTGGTTAAGATACAAGGATTTGTTAGAAAATAAAACCCCAAGGTGGCTGTCACCAATGCGAAAGCCTTGAAAAAGGTCAATATGGAGGTCAAATGGCCGAAATATTGGGAAATTTTGGAACAAGACGGAGATAGACTGAAATTGCAGAGTTTTGAAAAACTAAAAACAAAGTGCGAGACTGGCTTCATTATTATTAGATAATGGAGGCATTTAAATTGGACAGGAAAATTGGCTTCCAGGTGGAAAGATCCAAATTAGAAACAGAATTGTTAGAACCCAAAACTAAGAATTTGTCAAGAATGTATAACTTGCTGCTGAAATGGAATACTCAGGAGGAAACGGTAAAATCGGCTATGATTAAATGGGCACAGGACGTTGGACATAATATCATGTTTGCTGACTGGGAACAGTTATGGACCACAGGTATGAAATTTATGGCATGTAATGCCTTAAGAGAGAATATTATGAAAATGATATACAGGTGGTACATAACCCCAGTCAAGCTTGCGAAAATCTATCACTTGCCCGATAACAAATGTTGGAAATGTAAAGAAACTGAAGGTACATTTTTCACCTTTGGTGGACGTGCCCAAAGATTAAGGCTTTCTGGGAAAAGATATATAATGAATTAAAAAGGTATTTAAGTATACCTTTCCTAAGAAACCAGAGGCCTTTCTCCTGGGCATAGTGGGCCAAAGGGTGTTAAAAAAGGATAGACCTTTCTTTATGTATGCAACAACAGCAGCAAGAATACTTATCGCAAAGTATTGGAAGACACAAGAACTTCCCACGCTGGAGGAATGGCAGATGAAACTTATGGACTATATGGAATTGGCGGAAATGACTGGCAGAATCCGTGACCAGGGAGAAGAGTCGATGGAGGAAGACTGGAAGAAATTCAAAGACTATCTTCAGAAACACTGCAAAATTAAGGAATGTTAGAGTGATGTTGGATTGAAAATAAGTGGTTTCCAGCTGTACAGGCTAAAGTTAAGGACAGATTAAGATTAAAGATTAAGATTAAAGATGTTTAAAGAAATGGAAATTTGATAATAAAAGGAAAAAGTTTAAAGTTATATGACACTAAGAGCAAGGATTAGGTTTAAAAAGTTGAAGTTATATATTTTAACATTTCATTAAATTAAAGATTGGGATTAAAAAGTGGAAAAGAAACTGCTGAACTAATAA